GAGTCCCAATTATTCCTTTTCTTTCTAAAATATTCTAGCATATAGTGAGAATTATGATATTTGATGAATTAGAGAAAAAACAGCTATATTGCCATAATACATAATTTATTTCCAAATAAAGCCACCTGTTGTCGTCAAAAAAAAAACTTAATTCTTTCTGCTTAACACAAGCTTGAATATTAAATTTTTAAATATATTGCTAGATATCTGCTTGCAATTTTTAATGCTTCACCACTTGTTTTCTTTAGTAAATAATTTGTCACACGAATGGAAGTAAAACCTCCCCGCCATTGCGAATGCGATATGGAGATTTAATTGAATATAAACAATGTTTTTTAAACTAGTTCAAAATTTATTTGTTTTTAGTCTTTATAGTCTAAAATATTAATTTTGCTATTATTGAGAACTGTTAAAGATTCAACTCCTTTCCTGGAAATAATTATATTTTTTATTATATATTTGTGTGAGGAACATATTGTCATGTACAGGCGATTATGGTAAATATATTATCATCTATTTCTGTGTACATATTAAGTGTATTTATATAGATGGTTTTGATAAAAATGATGCGTTTTCCAAATAAACTTGATACAAAGAAGGTGAAGAGTGAATAGTGAGCCAAGTATGCTTTAGCGTAGATGGCTCCAAAGTGTGTCTTATTCTGAGCATTAATGTTGAGTTAGTGTTAAAAATATTACATGAAGTAAAAGTAAAAAAGAATTTTTGTAAGTATTACAAATTAAAAAAATAATACAAAACTGAATATACTATGTTATATAGAGCTAAAATTAAAAAACTAGAGATTATTATAAATAAAATAATAATTGCGAGGTGTATCAATCCCCGTCAGGAACAGTTTCGTAGTACAGTGTATAAGTTTAATGCATATGTATATGCTGACTGTTTTTATTTTATTATTCTATATGCATATAATTAGGATCATAATTCATTAGTAGAGTGATTTACTCGATATATATAGTACAAATATTCTCATTATGTTAAGTTAACTACAAAGAACAATACTTTTAGATTGTGAAAAGGTGCACGATCGTACTTATAGTATTTTTTCTCTACTCTTTCTATTGAGGCACTTTTTATAGTATCAATCTTTTAAAAACACTCATAAAATTATATAATTTCTGTCTTTTATAAGTTTTATTAGGAGGCACTACTGAAATAACCCACTTTATTATTAAACTATTTTTTTTTTGTACCCAAAGAAAAATTGTCACTTAAATATTGATCTATATGTTTAATTTTTAGGTGTTAAAAATATGGTTTTCAATTATTGAATCATAATCAAGTCGGCCAGCGGTTTCGTCTGTTTACAAAGTTCACACACCTTTGTGGTGAGAGTCACTAAGACAATAATATATATTATATGTTGCGATAAATAAAAAGTTTAATGATGCATAAAGGTTCCAAAGATTGCTGGATGGCAAGTTGTAGAATAAACTCAAGAAGAAATACAAATCTTATCATATTACATTGAGGTGGTCTCATATGGGTTGAAGAGAAGAAAGATCTTAACTATTTTCACAATTTCGATTTGTGGAAATGAATATATTTCTATCAAAAGCACACCGAATAAACAAAAAACACATAACAGATATGAGGGCATTGCGTGCCGAAGGGAAGTGTGCAAGGCACTACAAATTCTACTATATGTGGAGGCAATGGACGATCTCTATCTCTCGCCTTGTCAAACCACAACGGGATATTGCTTTCTTGACATGTTGCGAAAGATTATATTTATATTCTCTTTAAGAGTTTTCATTTGAGTATATTATTAAACGTATTTTTTATTTCAGCTTAAATTGTCAATTTTGGTCCATATAATACACATCTGGAAATGGAGAGTTTTTGAACCTTTGTTTTTCTAACTTATTTTCAGCCCTCACGTTAAAATAATTATTACTTTTTTTATACCCTAATATGAGCGCAACGCAAAAAAACTTAATTTAAATTTATATTCTGGTGGGATATGTTGTGCTTCCTGAGTGTTGGGAGAAGATCAGAGCTTCTTAGGAAGGTTCGAACTTGTGCATGAGATTGTTTCTTTTTCTTCTTCAAAGTACAAATACTTTTATAAAGATTTAGGGTTGTCTCTTCTTATTCTATCTCAGCCTGACATATTATTGACATTGGTTGGAGACATAATATATTATTTCTTAAGTTTAATAGCTTTTTTAGAGTTTGAGTAATATTGCTCAAATAATTAGAATGAGAAATTTGTATTTTCTTATTACTCAAAATATTTTTTCTTTATTGTAATCCCTTGGAACTGATCAATCAAATCTCATTAACCATAATATTCAGAGAGCTGAAGAACTTTGTGCGAGACTTCATCTTAATTAGATTTTTATTTCGTATTTTTCTTGTTAATTGAACAGCAACTAATTATGTACTAATAATACTTATTGAAACTGCTGTGACGAATAAAACCAATGGTAATTTCATTGCCTTAATTGTATATTAGCGTGTTTACATTTCTTTGCAAACTTTTTCTTTCGATGGCAAATTTATCATAGTCAATATTGTAAGAGTTCCAACCCCAGGCTTGTGATTGGCTATTTTTCCACAGTGTCTACTTTAACTTTAAATTGAAGAGAGGCTGTATGGTTATGGTACATATCAGGGTGATAGATTTATTTGAATATTTTTTTTTCTTTTTTGATGTTAAGAAATTGCATTTTTAATTATTCAACTTTCATTTATACTATTGATCCATTATAATATAGATTCCTAATGAATATAAATAACAATAGAGAAAATAAATAAGATGTAATCTATACAACAACAATGTAGGGAATTTCTCATCTTCAGGAAGGTTTTATTCAATATAAGGATGCCCAATTAACGCTACATAAAAAGTCAAGAAATGGCGCATGTACTATTGATAATCAATGACATAAAGTGAATGTAGAGTCAAACACCCACTTTAATATAAAAACTTTATAAACATACTATATTAATCTATGAATAAGCTATTTTGTTCTTAAAATTATTATTATTATTCACCAATAAATTCATATAAAAAACCTTTTAAGAAAAATTCTAGAAATAAACCTATAATTCAAATAGGGGGAAACCAATTTGACATATCTAGTATTTTACACCCAAATATATGTATAACACTCAGAGTGCGAACCCGATTTTTGCCATATCCCACTAGTTACTATTAACGAAGATCTTACCCATACTAATCATACTAACGGGTACGATTAAAGTAACCTATACATTAAATATATGTTTATGTTTATGTCTCTAAAGTATTTGATTACTGTTTTTTTTTTTTTTTTCTTTTTAGATCATAATTCATTAGTAATATTAAAATTTCAAGTACTACAAATAATTAATCATATAGATATTTCTACTTCAAGATGATATTCAATCTTTTAACTTAAAAATAATTTTTTAAGTGACTACTAACCCTTATTTGATTTGTACCCAAAGAAAAATTTTATATGGATAATAACAAGCGTTTCTCTTTCAAAATATTGAATAATAACATAATAAAATATGATCTTATTGTCCAATATAATAAAAAAAATAAATTTATTTTCTTTTATTTGAAAAAGGTCAAAATTTTAAATCATATATATATAAGCCGAAAAAAACAGAAGGTGTGGGGGCACCTACAGATTTACAATGGAGGCAATGGAGCCACTTGCCTCCACTGGCTTTTTACAGTTCAGTTTATAATTTTTTAAATTTTAGTATATATGATTATGTTAATTTGTATTTATTCCATTGAATTTTTATATTTAGCCCTCACTAAATTATTACTTTTATACATTACCTCCACTTATTTAATTTTCTGGATGTGCTCCTGTTTGGAGGCCTTCTTGTTCAACATTCTATTTTTCTTTTTTAAAATTTTATAAGTTTTTTCTTTATTTTTCTGTATTTTGATTGGCTAATTTTTTTAATTTAATATTTAATATAATAGTGATAATTGATAATTTTTTAAATCTAATCTTATCTATCATCTAACCTAATCCAACTAAATCTTTCACATTTAATTAGATTTATTTTAATTGAACACGATATTATATATAACTCTGACAAACCATTGTTTAATGATTATTGGTTGCAACTTTTCTGTTGGCAAATATCTGTGCAATCAACATTGATTCTATTTTCCGTGTTCTTTAAATTAAATTGAGAGAGGCTGTTGGTATTATATGGTGATAGATTATTTGAATATTTTTTTCTTTTTTATGGATTTTTAATATTATTCTATCTATTTGATTTTTGAATATAATAAATAAGAGATAAATGTGTATAAAAAAATAATTTCATCTTTGAATATTCAAATAAGTAAAGCTTAAATATTACTATTATTAATCAAAACTTTAAAAATAATAACATAAACTTTTAAAATTATTATTATTATTCACAAATTATAAACTTTTAAAAATAATAATATAATTCAATGATAATATTTATTTAAATATATAACACTCAAGTGCGAAGTGCAGATCTCAACTAGTTACTATTAGAAGTTAACAATTATATCAACTAGTTACTATTAAAAGTTAACAATTATATATGTTGTTATTTATTTGTAAACAATGAAAAGTGATTCTAATTATTTTGAGGTATTTGAGTAATTTATTAAAAATAAGTGAAATCTCAGTCTCCCTTCATTATTTTCTCTCGAAATTAGATGGATTCAAAATATGTGAGCCTAATGGAAAATAAGCGAAATATTACTTCATTTAATATTTTTATCATTTCTTCAAATAAGAAAAAATATATTTTTCATCCATCCCATTTTTTTGCTTGGTATTCATCCTTTGGATGTCCAAAATGTTTACAAGATTTCTAAATTTATATACTTAAATAATTATTTTCTCATAAAAGCCTTTATGATTATTCATTAAATGAATAACTTTTATTACTAATATCTTAATGAATTGTAAAAAAATGACAAAATAATTTATGTTGATTAAATTTTTTGTCAAACCATGCAAACAAAATGCACGGAGGAGTAGTTATTTTGAAGATTTCAACTGGATTGATCATTTAAAATATTTTAGGTGTATTAGGCTACTTGAAAATCCTTGCTTGGTGGGCTTTCTGAGGTTGTTCGAGACAACTGCTGCCCAACCCAAATCACTTGAGGTTCATCCACTTTGAAATATGGAAGTGATCAATCCATCAAGACAAATAAAGAAGAAAAGGAAAGGGAGAGGTGCAGTCATAAGGCAACAAGATAAGAAGTTAATGACTTCACGTACCACATTGGCCTCTTCATCATCCCAGTTAGCTCCATTGCAATTGCACTAAAAACATAGCATAACTATTCAGCATCAGCACATCAAGCAAGACAGTATTTCCCTTTTTCTTATTTATTTATTTATTTATCATGTGATGGAAAACGAGAAAAAAAATATATATATACACACATTATCTTTGATATTTTACTATTGTTTTTTTCTTTTTCTTATCACTATTGCTTTCTTTTTTTCTCTAATTTACAGCTCTTCATTATCATTATCTCTCGCTGCAAATTACACTACATTTATCCTTATAGGTTAAGACTAAGCAATCCTATCTAAGATCATACCTACATGGAAAAAATTCACTTGAACTTTGTTACTTGTTAGGAATCATGACTCATTGGCTGCCTTACGAGAAGCTCCCAGCAGGGACTGTCCAATAGAAAAACATGAAGAGCCAAATAAGGAATTTGCTGCCAATATGTCAAAAATAATGTGCAAAGCTCAATGGTAGCATAAATATGTCATCCCCGCACTTCACTTGCTTGTCGATTTTAGGGTTCATTTGGAGAGATGCACAATTAAAACGAGGGTGCAGTCGAATTTGTGTATCATAAACAGTAACATTAACGTTAAATCAAATCACTTTATTCAAATCCTTATCTATTAAAATGAACCATTAATTCAAAAGGAACTCATGTGCATTTGAAATTTACCATATTAAGAAGGCGAAGAGCAGCGGGGCGAGTGAATTTTCTTGCGAAAAGGAAGCAAGTGGATGGTTTTCCTTTGCTGCTGCACCACTCTTTTCGATATTCAGTCTCATAATAAATATTGTCAATGTCCTGCAAAAGTAATCAAGAGTTATAAACCTTTGTCCTTTCTCATTTAACAAGAACTAGATAGGAATATTTTAAGTAATCACACACATATTTGCATTTAAAATCTTTCAAAGTAACCCACAAAAAAAAAAAAAAGGGAAGCTAGGAACCATTATTTCAATTTCCATTGTTCCAGGCACAAACATGATAAAAATACTGGGTAGGGACAATTAATGTACTCTCTTTAAGTTGAGTTACTCTGAGACTATCACACTGACAAAACCGGTTATAGTTAGACAAGAAGCAACATAAGCCATGTAACAAAAGCAAGTATCACTGCTTTTGTTAACATACTCAACAGAACTAAATCATAATTCCTATTACATAGAAAACTTTTCTTCTGTTTTCCCAGTTTAGGGCTACATCTGCAGGAAGGTCTACCGGTCTAGACTCAGAGAACCCCATAAATCTTCTTTACAAGCACATTATATAAAAATAAAGTATGGTACCTGAATTTCAGGAAGTAAAAAGGACTTTCTTTCATTTTCATTTTCTTTATAATATAGGAAGTATATTCTTCTGCTGATTTATCAAGATTGGTATAAATTCTCTGCACAGTTCTATCCAAGATAATTTAATTATATGCCCAAACAAGGCCTTAGTTACAAAATATAAACTGTTAAACAATACTAACAAATAGCAATTTAGCAGCATCATGTTCAACAACACTAACAAATAGTAATTTAACAGCATAAGTAGAAGAAAATAGAAAAGCATTTAGTTTCTCAAGGCATGGATAATAACAAAGCAGAACATTCATTACTTTATATAGCAAAACGACTTACAATACCTTTATGTTTTTGATGAGTGTGGGAGTAGCATCAGAGAATTTATAGGTAACAGGATGCCATCCACGGCGTTCAGGGTCTTTAGAGGATGAAAGATCCCATGAACTATGTGTCAATGACCTTCGTGTAATTTCTCCTTCAAGGCCTTCTTGCTGACAATATTGGAAAAGAAAACGTAACTCAGACTCTGAGTGCGTGAGAGAGAGAGAGAGAGGCAGAAGCAAAACATTTATTTTACCTTTTCATGTATAAATAAGTTTTTGATTCAACTCATGCTTTTTAAATGATAACTTATTTTTTTGTTCAGGTACATGTTTCAAAAATCTACAGACTTAGAAGTAGAACCATCTAAACGGTGACTAAAAAATCAGTCCAAAACCACCACGTAAGATGCAGCATAAACTGCATGCCAACTACTTTTTTCAACTGCAAAGAGCTATACTAAGGTGTTGCAAACACTTCTGAAATATGAATTCAAAACAGTAGAAAGAACACAAACAATATTAACTTCTCTTAAGAGGTTTTTGTTATTTAATATTCTTTTCTGATTCTGCTGATAAGTTATTGCTTTTCCTGCAGCACAAAGTTAAACATGACGGTTGCAGCCATAATAAAATACAGGTCCATTATACACTTGAGTTAAACCAGGACCCTCTAGTGCAAATGCTATGGCATTTGACACTTGAGCTCTCTGTGCAGGTGTATTAGAAAAATACAGGTCCATCAAGATTCCAAGCATAAGCTTTTCCACAATTATTAGACACTAATAGATTTTGTCTAAAACATGGTATACTGACCATTCATTAATTTGAAAAGAACAATGTAAAGGAACTTTAGATCTAAAGGTTTTCAAATAACAAAAAGGAAAAACACAGGAAGATTCCCCTGACTGTCCATTAGTTTGAGAAAAAATGATAGGAAACTTAAAAATTAGAAATAATAATATGAAGAATAAGAGGCAAACCTAGCCCTGATCAATAGATTGGCTACAGCCAAACAATCAATAAAAGCCGACTTCTTCTACAAGACAAAAATGATAATGTAGACATACAAACAAGCCCCAGAGAGAGAGAGAGAGAGAGAGAGAGAGAGAGAGAGAAGGTTGACATATTGTTCAATTGGGAATCTATCAGATTAATTAACAGGTGGAAGGCCTTCTGGCTCAGTTGCTTGATGGTTCTACCATTCCATTTTACTTGTCAACCAACTAGACTCAGAATATATGGATAAGAATGCATCTTACAGCAAGTAATGTCTGCACATAATGTTCATCAGGTATACAATTGTGCTCCTTCGATGTATCTGGCTGTACAAAACAAGAATTTTAAAAATGGAAAATTGTTACTTAATAAGATCTCCAAATCCACTTCAAAAGCAGTTAGATAAATTTATGCAAGCAGATTTTGTAAGTTGGAACAATTTGAATGCATATGTCTAAGCTAGACCAGAAAAAAGGAATATAAAATTTAGAAATTGAAGAAAGGAAGAAAGAAAGAAAAAGTTACTTACAAGGGGGCTATCCCGCCAAAACTCAGGCAGTGATTTCCTCTGCATTGTTATCAAGTGTGAATAAAGTAAATTACGACAAAACAATAGCTCCAACAAAAAAAGAAAACTTAGACAAGGTCAACTTCCTAAATCCTAAAGATGAAAATAATTAATTAAGAAGAGAAGTTTAAGGACCACAAACTATTAATTTGTAATCTGTAAGATACCCGACAAGACAATTTCTTCCATGAATAAAGAGCTTTCCTTTAAAAGAAAAGAAAAAAAAAAGAAGCTAGGTTTAACACTACAATCCTTTTCAGTTCTCAATACGCCCAATCAAGTAATGTTCTTAGCTTAAATATTGGACATAACTAACCTATGCTATGTTCAAAACAAAATCAAAGTTAGTACCTGTCTATTGCATTTATTCTCCAATAACAACACACAAGACAAAATGACATTAGCTTTGACAACTATTATGTTAGACTGCCAGACATGAAGGTATTCTCTATTCAGAACCAAAAAATTCAGAGAATATAAACTTGCCTTGCAATGCTGTTGAAACAAAGGAAAGACTACAGTGTCATTCACGACAACCTCTGCATGCTTTCTGGTCAGAACAACCCACTGCAACAAGCCAAAGCAGAAGTTAGAATTAGACAAGCTACAGTGACATCGCATGACAGATACTGTCAATGGATATGTATCATTTCCCTCTTAGGTTTTTTTTTTTTTTTTTTTTTTTTTTTTTTTTTTTTTTTTTAAGAATGTTCTTAGCTTAATATTGGACATAACATAACCAAAAATGCCCTTATGTTCACCCATATATATCAAAGTTAGTATCTTTCATATTGCAGTTTATTCTCCTAATTAACAACACCACAAGACAAAATGACATTAGCTGACAACTATTAATGTTAGGACTGCCAGACATGAACGGTATTCTCGTATTCAGAACCAAAAAAAAAATCAGAAATATAAAACTTGCCTTGCAATGCTGTTGAAACAAAGGAAAGGACACAGCATGTCATTCACGAAACCTCTGCAGCTTTTCTGCGTCAGGACAACCCACTGCACAAGCCAAAGCAGAAGTTAGAATTAGACAAGCACAGTGACATCGCATGACAAAAGATACTGTCAATTGGATTATGTATCATTTCCCTTCGTTAGTTTTTTTTTTTTTTTTTTTTTTTTTTTTTTTTTTTTTTTTTTTTTGTCCATTAACATCATTTTTTTCCATTAACATCAAGAAGCAATCATGCCATAAAATGTACAAATTACCTGTGATCCTTTCCTCCAGTTATAAACAGGAATGACTGAAGCCATTTTCGGATTGTAGCGGCCCTCTTTTGTATCAGAAAAGCTGCTTCCAGCATTGAAATTAACACATTACCCAACGTCAATCAAAAACAGTAAAAAACATTTAAGGTTACAAACTGAAAAGTTGGCTTAAATTTGGCTTACATAATACATACCCCAATAAAGATAATATTTTTTTTCATAAAATTAATGCAGAGAAAAATTAGGTGAGAAGCCACCAATAATGAATAAAATCTTCATAAGGTCCTGCTAAATCATTATTGAGGTTGATTTTGATTAAGTAATTTCAGATGAAGATGAAAAGAATTACATGTAATGCAAACGATAAAATCAATTAGTACACCTGCTATAACAATGTTTTACAAGATGAACAATGAGAACAATATAAGATTTAGTTAATGCCTAGGGTTAGCTAATAAACTTATCACGGGTCTTAGTTCCAGACTATAACCATTAAGTGTTTTGTTTTTTATTTTTGAAAAAATCTAAAGTTTCAGGTTACATAAGAGTGAGGCTGCCTTGATATTCTTCACATTACAATTCATCTATTAATTACAAGAAGTAGGCATAGTAGTGTTTAATTTTAACCAAAAACAAGTCTTTCTCTCCAGAAAAATGTTTCGAAGGAATCAGGGGAACAGAATGCACTGTAGCTCTGAACCTTGAAAAGCAAACTAAAATATTTGAACAGATCAACATGTAGCTAGATAGTCATGCAAATTATTTTAATTTTCTCTGCATAGACAACATGCATGCAATATCTGTTAATGTATGACAGCTTCCAATAATGTTATTTTTGGGACAGAATATATGAAATAATAAAATATATTGCTATGCACATCAAAACCATGGTTGACTAACCTGTCTACAAAACTAGTTGATGTTGACATGATATAGTCATACGTGTAGCTGAAGTTGTAAAGAGGTATGCAGCTGAGAGGAGATCATGCAGCTAATATATGGTTAGGTGACAAGACCACATACAAAAACAAGCTTCAATGGAATAAAAGTCTCGATACATCAAACAAAGTAGCATCTGTATACATTTAAGATTGGAAAGTATCTTATATATTTAAGATAGGAACATGACAGAATCTTTTAATAATAATAATAGAGACATAGCAAAGTAAGATGGAAAGGTAATTGCTGCATAAAATCAAGAGCAATTATTGGCATCAAGTCTTACCTGTCTGAGAGGAAAACAAAACGTTCATTCCGAGGATCCTCTAGGGCATGTCTAAGCAATATACGCTCTGCCTCGAGCATGCTTGCTTCTCCCCAATCTACCTGAATTAATTTGAGGAATATCACACCAATAAAACAATGTGCAAAGTTTTACTTAATCATGATAATATATCCAATTGATTAAGCCAACAGGAATACATGGAATTGTGTTAACAAATATACACAAAAGTGAGCTACATAGTAGTTGATATTGTTTTTGGTAATTTGTGGCTCTCATGAGAACCTTGTTCCGTGTTGCTAAACTAAATAATTCAACTCTTTTAACTTCAACATGTACAATTGCATGTGCATATGAATATAAAATGTAACGGTGGCCCATGATTTGCATATCCAGAGTTTTTCTTTTTGGCTCTCATTGCGTCTTATTGTCCTCCCCATCAGGCTTAACAAGGTTGTAGTAGTATCATAATTTCCTTGGGTTTCAAATGTGACACTTAGTAATAGGAATAACAAACCTGTATGCTATCATTAACTTGTCGATTCATAAAATAGACGGATCTTGTGGTAGCTTTGTTGAGCAGAAACCCAGGCCTAGAATGAACAAAAATTGAAAATCTAGATTCCTCACCCTGCAAAGTGAATGCTTCATCAATATGAGCCCAAAACAGATACAAGCTTCAAGATTATCAAAAGAACGAAGAAAATGAAAAGAGAAAATAATGGTATGTCTAAGTCATACTACAAAAGAGGAGCTTGTTCTTTTGAAAAGAGGTTGCAGGACTAAATAATGTAATGTCTTTCGATTTTTCTTAAAAATGATGGCTAACCTTTTCTTATTAATAGAACCTAGTATCTTATCTTTCATGATTAATAAAATTCTAAAAAGCTTAAGGACTGGTTACATTTCAGCACAGTAAACATGATCTAAGCATCAAAATGATTTTAACCATAAAAACTTTAATTAAGTTGTCACAAACCATAATTCACAGAGCTATACATGATTTGCTATAATTATTCTTCATAGACATTAACAAATTTTATGATAATACTATAATAGTACACATTAATCAAAAGAAATAAAATTTCATTCATTCTACAACTAAGATTATTTAAAATCATTAAATCCAATAATTCAAGCAACGGATAGATCACCAACAAAAGCAATTTATACAAACACTTCAATAATGGCAAGAAATTATACATTCACAGAAAATGCCATAAAAAGCTTACCTTAAAAAAAGCATCCCAAACCATATCCAGAGGAAGTCGATTTCGAGCAATAAACAGAAACGCAATTCTTGGCTTCTGAACTAAATGAGACTGCAATTTCGCCAATGCAAGAATTCGAGTGTACTGAGTTTGCATCAAAACGAAGCTTCCAAAACAAAACCCTAACAACAAAACAACAAACAGCTTTCTCTTCCATTTGAAGTGAGATTTCTGCTGCTGTATCAACTTTCGCTGCTTCATTTATATATATAAAACAAAATATCACTTCCTCACCTCAATTCCAATTTCTCCAACATTATCTAACACAGTAATTCCAACACTATACAACAAAAGAAAAACAGTTTGATCCGTCAATTTAGAGTTGAAGAATTGATTAGATCCATGGACACGTAGGTAGGTGTTAACTGAAGCAAGTTCTGTGGAATTGAATTGCAGAAAGAGTGGAATTCTCGTGAATTTGAAGGAATCGGCGAAAGAGAGGGAGAGAGAGTCACGTGGAATCTGGTTTTGCAGAGAGTGGAAATTGAAATGAAAGAAGAAGAGGACGCGACTAGAAATAGAAAGAAAGTGGAGAGTGACAACTGAGTTAGTGAGTTGGGTTCGCTTGACAAGTGAGCTTCCTCTTTTATTTTATTTTAAGCTGTGATGTCGTAAAGGTGTAGGGTCTTTTGGTCTTGATTCAAAAGTTTTGCGTGAGAAATAGAGTAGCGCACCGCCTTTCCTATATTCTCTGCTAATGATTGGGAGCTAGGTAATACCTCATTTTTATTAATTTTGACATTTTTAATTTTTATAAAAATTTAAAAAATATAATTGAATTGTAGCAATTAAAAATAATAATTGATTAAATTATTCTTTAATTATTTTGATAGATACATTTAAATAAGGACAAAGTTACATTTAATTGTCACTTCGATACATTTATTTCATTTAAAGCTGAAAAAATTTTTAAATAACAATAAAACATTTTATTAATTGAAATACTTACGTGTAATAAATACTCCCTTAAGTGGTGTGCTATTTAGGAGTGAACGCTACTCCCTCAATTAATCACTAATCAAATACTATTAAGAAGTCACGCTGCTCCCTCAAATAATGATTAATGGAACATTTTAATATTAAAGTTTCCATTCATATTGGTAGGCCCGAGCAAAATGATCAATCGAACCAAATCGAAAACTGAATGACACTGCTTGGTTTGGTCGGCTTGCTCACAACAAGTTTTGTACTCAGTTCATTTCTATTCAACCTGAAATTTCAAGGCAGTTATGGCTCAATTTTATAAAATTCAATCGGTCAAACTTAATTGAATCAATCCTTTCATAATGAAAAAATAGATTGAGTTGATTCGATTTCTTTCAGTTAATACTTTTAGGGCATGTTCATCTAAATTTTTTTAATAGCTGTTAGCTGTCTTAATAGCTAATTGTTTAACTAGAGTTTCAACAAAACATTAAAGCGTTTTCATAATTCATTTTTTCAAACTCTAAGCACTAAGGCTGATGCTACATCATCAAAATATAAACAATAGAAATAGTGCCGCTATATGAAAATCTACAAGGCCTTAGTTCGATTTGATTTCAATCCTAAAAGTTAATTTGTCCTTCTAAAATTAAGTTCAATTTGATTTTGAACCAAATCAACTATTTGCTAACCACTATATATCATAATGATATTCAGCTAAAATCTTCCAGACTGTAATGAACCCAAATAATAATAAGCATACACCAAAATACGAGAGAAACAAAACAACTACCAAACCGGTATTTATGGACTCTCAATGACTGGTTTAGAGACAGTTGTAAGCTTTTATGTCTTTTAAATTGAAAGCAAGCATCAACTGGTAGGGTAATAGCTAAGGATTGATCATTTTATTCATGATTATATATACACATATTACCAGCAACCTTAAACTCTAAATCTTAACAATGTTTCTTACCATTATTTTGCTTATGCTAATGCTTTACTATAGTAGGAAAATAAAGGTACACATTTTCGGAATTTTTTAATATCTGAAATACTCTATTTTTATGAATTAAAACTTTTAACCTTTTCAAACTAATTTTCAATATGGTGGTCATGTAACAGAAAAATTAGGGATTTTGAAGACTATTTTCCTAGAAAATGTTTTTTTTAGATAAGTTAACAAAAGTTTTTTCCAATGGGGTGCAGCATATTGTCACCACCAGACACCCGCGATAAAACTCCAAAGGTGGCTAGGATGCAGCTGGGATCATTTCACTAGCATTCCTTGTTGGATGAACCCGTCATCATGCTCAACATATTTCGTAAAAACTAAACTCCACTGAACATTATAAAAAATAGCGGTAGTATTCCATATTATAAATAAGCTGGTCAGAGTTGCATGTCATCTGGCTCTGTGCAAGATTTGTTGGCTATTATGTTATTTTATGGAACTTATCCTACAAGAAAAACAAGTAAGTAATAAACAAAAGAGAACTTCTATAAAGAAAAGCCCTGGCCAACCAAACATAAAAACATTGATCAACTTCTTCAGCAGCAGAAGGACCAAATGTTTATTAGACAGTTACCATCATGCAGCAGCAATGGTGCAGTATTGTGTATCTTCTTTTAATTTCCTATAACGAGCAACATGCTCGAGATATTCTTCAAGCTCTTTCTCTAATTTCTCGATGAATTGACTTGTGTGCTCAAGGGACTGCTCATACTTGTACTTTTCCAGAGCCTGTGAAATACACAAATGGCAGCAACTGAATATTCCATAACTACCAAGAACCTAACTTTTTATTGAATGCCATAAGTATTCAGCAGTCCTGTCAATTACTTTATAAACTAATAATTTGGATTCATGGCATCGTTGTGTTGCCAGAATAAAAAAAAAGCCCAGTTAAATCTAATTATAATTTTCCAGTGTTTGATTGTCTCAAAAAAGAAAATAACTGAAAGACTTAAATCGCTGATCTTTTTAGTGGTGGAACTGTTGGCCCTCTGAAAAATTTTTATATGCTTATGCAAGACCAAAATAATGCAATTACTAGTGTGACTAATATTTATGGATGATCCACATTACTAATTACTAATTAGAGGAATTATGCACGAGTCATTATTTATAAGGCACAAAGTTTCAAGGCTATAAGAAAAGACCACATAGATAAAGCTTGGGAAAACCTGTGCAGTTAATTCAAATTCCTAGTCAAATCACCATAGAGGGGGATCACTCACCAATAGACAGCTCAATGCATGTGCCCACATACACACATATATAAAGTGCATTTAGCAGAGGCATCATTTTTCTTTTTCTGTGTGTTTGTGTGAGTGTTTGGGATGGGGATGTAAGGCATAACTTACCTTCTGTTTTGAAAGCGTATTTGGAGGGGACATAACTTCAGGCTGAACGTAGTTCTTTCCTCTGTAGAATACAATACTATTGTTAGGTTTTATGTCAATCACAATTCCTTTGCTCAGTCGAGCAAGCTCTTCAGCATATTCATGAATTTGCCCTGGCTTGCAAGGCCTGCAAATAACCTTCACTGTTTCATGCTTCTTCCAGTGAAGATGCATATTAAGAACAACACCTCCAAATACTCCTCGTCTTCCAACTAGAACAAAGTTCTTCTTCTTCTCCCCAGTACGCTTGAGGTAATGCTTCTCTTCTTCAGTTAATATTTCGGGATCATATACTTCAGCTGGTATTTTGGGAACCTCAAATTTCCTCAGCTTCTCAATCAACCATACTTCCTTTCGTTTGGCCTAAGGAGAGGTAATAGACAAAAACAAAATTATAGCTAAAAACAAGGATTACTACCAGAATAAATGTAAAAACTTGAAGTAAATCAACAAAACTTTGATAAAAATTAAAACACATTGCTAGGATTAACAGGATAATCCCTTCATGATTGGCAACAGGATATTTCCTTTAATTATTAAGGTCACTAAAACAAATCTAATCCATTAAACACCATGTAAAATGTACTTTCTGCAGCAAGTTATTTATCCCAAAATGAGTTATAAAAAACTCCTAGAAAGGGTGGGCAACATGATGGATCTTCTACGTTTAAAGTATCAAGTAATAGCGTACATGATGAAAAAATTACGAGAACCTTCATCTTTAAGTCAAGAGCTCAGTTGGACACAGCAGTGCCATTGCAGCAGTGCTGGATAAGTTATCAATGAAACTTTTTTTGTTCCGCTCATCAAAGAAACAGAAATAAGGTGTAAAAGATCAACAGAGCAAAATCAGCAAATCTACGCAATCTTAAATAATATTCAAGAAAATGAGACAATTAAAGAGAAATGAGGAAATCTAAAAGGACTCTGACCTTTTCAAGTTTATATCTAATCCGGACTTCTGGATTTGGAGAATTCTTCTTCTTTTTGGCCTTGAGACGATAGAACCTAAGTTCATTTAGTTTGGCCTTTCTAGACATTTTAACTCGTTTGGTAGTCTTCTTCCTTTTTTCTGAAGAACCATTTTTACCAGGCTGCTTACCAAAAGCAAACCTCACAACATCATTGTCTGTCTTCAGCTCAAATGACGCACGGCTCATCCATCTTCTGTATACCCAACTTCTGAGAACACTATGACTAGCAAACACATTTAACCTCTGTGTCAATAAAAAATTAGGAGAAGATACCCTCACTGCCTCTAGAAAAGGTATAACAGCCCTGTAACTTCTCAGGTTCACAGAGGTGGTCCAGTTAAGCAATGGAGTAACAGAAGTAGCTTTGTGCAATGATGAAAGATTGGACCCTTGCTGGAATAGAAAAGACAACAAAACTAAAGATTCCCTGCACAAAGCACAGGCATCATTTCTTCCGGAGGCAATTTAAATGAGAAAATGGCAATAAAGATCAATCCAAGATTTTCCTGTTAAAGGTCACATGTACTAATTACATGAGAATTTCAAATGTGAAATTAATCATCAGGAGCAAATGTAACGAACACAGTGACAAGGTTCCGGCAGAGACTACTCTGCTTTATTATAACCTAGAATTTATTATGGTCCCAATATCCCCATTCAGTAAAATGGGGAATTTGATATGGGCAGGTACTCCTCCTTGACTTTTTTTGTTTACTAAGGCAGTTATCAGTTGGTATCAAAGCCAACCTTGAGTCCACTACTCGACACTTTCATGCCGTGGAATGTTATGGACATTCTTAAACAATAAGCAAGTGACTGACACATTCCTTCAATGGCTAAATATCTTACAATTACAAGCTAAAAGAACAATTGGGGGAAAACCCCATGATCTTACAGAACAAAACAAATAATCTAAGATCACAAGCTTAAAGCATCTGTATAATGTTAAGCTCAAATTCATTGTGAAAAAAAGGGCCTTAAGAAATGACTAGAAAAACAATCACATAATTTGAGACCTAACTAATTTTTAAGCGTTTATTTGATACCAAAAACATAAGTCTGATGAAAAAGAACACACCTTTTGACAATGTAGTTATGTCCAAGATTGGTTCTGCCTCTGATTGAACCTATAGCAAACATCATTATCTCATAAATTCAACAAAAAAAGGGACATGTACTGATATCATCATTTGGATTTAGGCTCTCCGGGAAAAGTTTATCCTCTCCAGAATTAAGGGAACCATGATTCCTCCATTTTAACTTGCTTTCAGATATCTTTACCACACTGTCTCATAGCATTGAAAGAACACGCTCATATTTGAAAGTTAAAATAGAATTCAGCTTGGCAGAAACTTCCTACGGCAACACAAAAAAAGTATGATAAATCACGTCTTCGAGCTAAATAATAAAAAAGGTGAAGAACACCCGTTACCTAAAATTATAAACAAGAATTATATAAATTGCAATCCACAACACATCTAAAAATATTCGAAAATAGAAGAAGTTTATTATTGCAATCCATTATCTTAAAGCTTTTATATTAAGTATTCTTTATGTGTCTCTAAAAACTATTGAAATGGTAGTGGCAGAAAATATGAAATCAATCGCAGAAACGGAGTCCAGCTAAAATTATTTATTAATTAGGCAAGACTGTGACTTCCTCAAACCAAGAAACAGAGAAATCAAAAGCTTAATTGAGAAGAAAAAGGAAAATCATCATACCCAGAGGCTAACAATAATTCAGGTCGTCTCTTTCCCCTCCGTGTATCTCTATAGCAAGAAGTTGAGAAGAGAAAGGGACAATTTTGGTATAAAGGCAGCTCCTTTATATTCATTATGTAAAACGGTACCGTTATACACTCTTCGCCACGCTCCGTATTACTGTATTTCAATATGTGCCCTTTCCATTCCAGAGATGAAACGACGCAAAGCTCACAGCTTGATGCAGTGTGGCTCCAAAAAATGGCGTTGAAGCCTCTCCTTTGCCCTCCTCAAACCACCAGTAAAAGGTGACAAAACTTATGCAAATTTTCCTTTCAAAAGTTCTATCTTTTTCTTTCTTGATCGAATTCTTTGTCACAGTTTTTCAGTGAACGAAACTGGAGCGAGTCCTATATGGACACCACCCAAATTCTCAAAATTACCCGGAGTTCCCTGCAAAACCAAGTATTCATCAACAAGGCTGTGCTTGAGAACCGGAAATGGCGAAATTACAAAGAACGCACACGGGGTTAGGGAGAGAGATGGTTTGATAATTGTCGACCATGGGTCGCGTCGCAAGGAATCAAATCTCATGCTAAGTAATAAGCTAGTAAAACAGTTTAAATTTCAATCACTGGTTTGTAAGTTGTTGTTTGGATTAATTGAGTTAGATAATGGTGAATTTCAGATGAGTTTGTTGCTATGTTTAGAGATAAATCTGGGTACCCAATTGTTGAGCCTGCTCACATGGTAATTTACTTCTTCTTTTAATTTTCTTCTGCCAGTCAGTGTTAATGCCAATATTATTTAAGTTATTTTTTTGTTTTTTTTTGGTGATAATCTTGTGGATGTTCACAGACTTGCTGAAAGGCAAGCAGCTAGAAAGAAAATGACTGTTTTATTAGTTTAATGTCTTTCCTTCGATTATCTTGCTTTGAGATTGACACATTGCTGTATACTTTCCTTGAGTCCTAAATTTGAGTAACTAACAATACGATTGTTTTACATATTCTTTTCAACTTTTTAATATAACCAGGAGCTTGCAGAGCCCTCAATAAAGGATGCATTTGGTTTATGTGTTCAACAAGGGGCAAACCGGGTGATTGTAAGTCCATTCTTTCTCTTTCCTGGAAGGCATTGGCACCAGGTACTCATTGCAATTTTTCCCTGGTAACTAGACTACCAACTTAATTATTCCATTGGAACTTTTCGTGCGGTGACCGAAATAGATTCACATGTTATTTGAAAGGATATTCCTTCGTTAGCTGCTGAAGCTGCTAAGGAGCATCCTGGTGTCTCGTACATCATAACTGCACCTCTTGGCTTGCATGAGCTACTTGTGGTATGTGATTATCAATTTTCCTTTTCTTGGCTGCCATAAAGTCTGTCAGAAACAAAGCTTAGTTATATTTGTGAATGATATTAAGTTAATTTTTTTGCTTATGTCGTTTCAGACTTTTGAGTAGTTTTTTTTTACTAATATACGTGAATCTAGAAACATTAAAAGCTTCCATAGTTTTTTGTGATGGATCTGATATGATAGCATCTCCGTTATTGCATTTCCACTATTGTACGTTTACTCGTAGAATGAGTCAATTTTTTAACCCAAATTTAGAAGTTGCAACCAGTCCTTTCATTTATGGTCAACATTTTCCTGGGCCATCCTGGACTTGAACCAGGGACCTCACTCATGGAGTAAATCATTGGAACAGATTTCCCTTCAGATGATTCCTATTGTTATTGATAATCACCTTCATTATAACTAGTTACCTTTTCCTCTGGGTTGTTTGCTAAGCTGTGATGGCTAACCCTGCTGATGTACATATAATTGATTTAAATGGATGCCTCTTCTATTCTAAATTTTGGTGGCCAATATTGCAGGATGTTGTGAATGATAGGATCAAACACTGCTTAAGACATGTTGCAGGAGATGCTGATGAATGTGCAGCCTGTGTTGGAACAGGCAAATGCAAGCTCTATTAGTCCATGAAATTGCAAAGCAGTCATACTGGTCTGGCTTGTCATGTGGGGTGTTTATTTCTGTTCTTATTCAAAAAACTGAGGCACTTACTCAAAATGAGGAGGAAACTTGATCTTGTAGAGGAAATCAAAGTAAATATATGTTTTGACTGAGTTTCTTATGCGACTACACTGCTTGTGTCAATGCACGACACACAATTTTCTTTTGCAAATTTATACTAACTAGGAATTCATTTGATCTTCCGATTCTGGCATTCTCCATTGCTCTCAATAATTCAAAAGAGATGTGGAGAAGTTGTTCCATTGTTGCCTTTAACAATTTGCAGTCACATTGTGATGAGAAACTAAGCACCTTTTTGAAATATACACATGTAGAACCAATACAATATTGTATTTACTCTCTTTTGCAGTTTGGTGCTTGCATTGCAATATATGAAACATAAAATTGTAATACTCCTTGCACTGTACATCTTGTTTATGCTCCAATCGTTTGTGCTGGCAGCTTTAGGCTGTCTTATTAGATACTTATAAGAAAAGAGAACCTCTTATGGTATGGACATTGCACTTCTATTCCATATGTTTGACCCAAAGGAATTTTCTCACAAAATTCCAGATTGTTGAGAATCTCTCCCTCTCAATTTTCATGCTAGCATTGGCTCGAGCCTCTGCTTGAGCAGGCGTCTCTTCTTCAGTGGTTGCTCTTGCTGCTGTTAGAGCAATGTTCATTATGTGCAAGTCAATAAAGACAAAAAAGTTTTTATGAGTTTATGGAATGCAAGCAAGGACTCGCTATTACTTTCAAAATTTTCAGTCTGTCGTTTTAGTTGCTTGTTGAATGACTTTGCTGCTGCAAAAACATTACTAGGTCTTTCCCAGCCTTGTCCAAATACACCATACCCTTCTCTGGGTTTAGGTTGAATCAGGAACTCAAGCACAGTCAACTCTTCCTTATCAACCCAATGAATGCAGTTCACCGGGCACGAATCAACGGATACCTGTAAGCTTCCAAGTCATGTACCTCAATTTCAAATTCTATGTGTTTCTATGATAAAGTCTGTTTTGTTTTTTAGATTGAAATTACTTTTCTGGAAAAGTATAACTTTAATTATTATCAGAAGGAACAGTTTTGGAGAATTGTTCAGTCGTTTGAAACTTGCACCTGAATTTTTTCGTCATCGTCACCGAACTGAACTTTGACTCGTGCGCATCCATGAGCTTCATCCATGGAGAATGTATTGCTCGCGTGGTGGACACACTCTCGGCATCCTGCAAAATATTTACATTCAGAAACTGAAAATAACTGTACTGCAGCATAATCAAACATCCATAACTGGGCAGGCATGTGTGGTACTAACTAACCTACACATGCATTTTCATCAACAAATAGAGCTTGATGTCTAACTGGCCCTTTCCAGGAGCTGAAACCCATCACATTATTGTTCCTTCCAGTTCCCATTCTTAATTGACCAATGGAAATATCATACTTTCTCCTGAGATCCTCCCTCATCAGGACCTTATAAGCTTCATTCAGCATTAGAGTACACTCATGGCCCTAAAAAAAAAAATTATAAGACGTTTTTTAAGTATATACCTACATAACAAATATGGATTCTATATTAATAATTTCATTAATTCACAGTACCAAACAGACTCCAAGAATAACAATCAAGGGAGAGAATGACCTTTTGTCCAGCAATATCAGGATGATATTTCTTTTGCAACCTCCTATATGCCTCCTTAATCTCTTTAGAATCTGAATCAACAGAAACTCCCAATAACTCATAGTAGTTCTTCTCTATCCTTGCACTTTCTGCTTTTCTATTTGAACATCTGATTGCAGGGCATTTCTTCCTCCACCTTAGAACCAAACAACTTAAATTAACACTACATAAAAACTATATATGTATATCTATATATTTCAAGCACTTCAATATATATATATATGTACCTGAAAAGAGTCTTGTTTGGATTGAAGAACCCATGAATTTGGGAAACTTCTTGATAAGCTGGAACTACAGAAAATGACATATCCTTCTTCACTGCCACCCCTTCTTATGTTCTTTAGAGCCTGAATTTAGCAAGCAATATAGCTTTAGATAGTTTTGTCTTTTTAGAGCATAGAAAGATATTTTTATCCTTTTTTTTTTTTTTTTTTTTGCTTTTTTAGAGCATCAGAAAAGATATTTTATCCTTTTTTTTTTTTTTTATTTTGTGAATAAGTCACAAACCTCCATGTCAGCACTTTTTTTTTTTTTTTTTTGAATAATCACAACTCTCCATGTCAGCATCAAAAAGGTGCAAGGACCATAACACATAGGGATAAGTACTTAGTTAGTCCCTGAAATTTGATCTTAATCATTAATTTGTCCCTTCTTTGTGGTAAATATTAAGTACATTGGTTGAGGTTTAATAGGTAAAATATTTAATCTTCTTATAAATAAGATATACTTTAGCTGATGAAAATAGTAAATATGATGTACTAAATAGTAATATCATATTAAAAATAAAAAATTGAACTGTCAAAAGATGATTAAATAGTTCAATGAAGATAAACTTTGGGACATTAATATATTTACCGAAAAAGATAGACAAAGTAGTATTAGTGTCAAATTTGAGGCACTAATTGGTATTTATCCCTAATACTTTCATACATCCTAGCAGCAAGAGGTAAAACGACGCCGTATACGAGCAGAGTTGCAACGATAGCCTATTATCACAGGTTTAGTAGATTCGTTTAGAAAAATTCCTATAGATTCGACATGGAAGAGCCTCTTTTAGAGCTTTCAGAAGAGAAATAACAGAGGCACTGGTAAACACGGAAATGGCGTACACTGGAAAATTTCTCAATCCAATTAGACAATCTTTCTCTTCAATATCTTATTTTTACAGTTCTTCATCAATCTCAAGAACAAAAACCTGTAAGCTATGTATAAAGCTCCTCTTTGTTTCCTTTCTTTCTTTCTTGCTCATGTTTCATTAGTTTATTATGTGTTAATTTTAGCATTACTTAATAATTAATTATTATTTATCCAGTTAATAGCAAATTTGAGCTTGTAAGAGCATGGATGAAGCAGCTTGAGCCTTCAATACAGTGTCGATGCTCAAACTTTCAGTGTAAATTGAACTTACACGCACAATTTATTCGTAATTTATATTTATCAGGTATTTTAGGTCAAATTTCGTCTGTTATATTGCTTCAATTTATCGGATATTGACTTTAATTTTTCAATTATCTGTTGTTTCGTTAGGAAGCATGATTGGTGTACCATTTGTAATTGGATCAATAGGTTTTTCGACTCAGGTTGCTTATGCCATGGATGGTGAGCAGCACTGAGCAGTTTGATTCTATTGATGCCTTTTGAAGCATGTATTTATGGCTAATTTCCATGGTTTGGGTTTTGCAGGGCAAGAAATTTTGGTGGATGATAGAGATTTTTTAGATTCTTCCGATAGAGAAAGAGATTCTCCTGTTGCATGGATGTTCCTTAAAAAATTTTGGTTACCTGCCTTTTGCTTTCTCACTGTGCTAGTGAATTGGGACCATCCAATCATTCTTATTACTAAAGTTGCCCTTTTCCTCCTAAGCACAAAGCCAAGCCCTTTATCAGTCTATGTATTTGTTGAACAGGTAAGGAAGCATTGATGCTTATTTTTCCTTTTTTACCTGTGTTATTAGATGCATGCAACTTGATGATGAACCTTATTGAAAAGTTTGATAGATGTTAGGCTAGTGTGGATGAGTGTGGTGTGAAATGGAATGCAATTGGCGTCCTAATGTCTGTCTCAGCAAACTCAAATTGGGAAATGTGGAATTTTGGATACCCAAAAAAAAAAAAAAAAGGATTGCTATGCATTTAGGTAATACCAAAAATTGTTATTCATGCATGATTCACAATAAGACCTGTGAACATATACGACCTTGCTACTTGTATTATCAAGGTTATTGTCATCTCTATACGTGAAAATATTAGTTTCTAATATCTGCACAAGTTTTGAAGGAAATAGAATGCTAATTGAGATGATTTATAGGGTATTTGCTATTAAAAAGAGTGGCATTAAAACTTTGATTCTAGTCATGGATGTGAAAAAGGTTCTTGTTGAGCAATGAACTTGAGAGGTACTCCTCGTTCTTGGACATTACTGGACATTTAACTGCAGTGACTGCATGCCTAGTGCATCTCTCACTTTATGATTGTCATTTGTCATTGTATGCTTCTTGAGGGGTGACGGAACAGAGAGAGGGAGAGAGATAGAGAGAGGTGTTATCTGATCAATTTCTTATGCACAGGGCTACTACTTGAAATGCTCTTGACCTCAAGTTTTAAATTTTCAGTTGTGTGATCGATCCATGCGCCAGCAGCCCTACATGTACTTTCTAAAGGTATGTTCTCTGATGCCATTAAATTATTTCTGTAAGTACTTCCTCAAAAATGAGATTTATACTACATCTGGAAAGAGTGGAAGATGAAAGGAAGGAAGAAGGAAGAAGGAAGAAGGAAATGAAATTAAACAATGTTCATCTTTTCCCTCGTTTGGGAGAGTAGAGAACATGGATGACATTTGATGTAAAGAATGGCATATGGAGTGTGCAAATAAATTCTCACTGAATTGGGGAGAAAGCAGGGAGAAAACTGATGAAATTACATACATGTCCCCATTAACAACTTTTTTCAATTAAAAACATGTAGTTGAAAATTGTAATTTAGATTCGTAGATTATTGTCCTCTCCATTTGCATTCCTCCCCTTTCCTTTTCTATCCAAACATGGAAAGTGATTTCTCTTTCTTATCTGCATTCTCCGATTTTTTTCCTCTCCTTTTTTTGTCTTTCTGCCCTCTGATTTTACCCAAGCACAAAATTAGCGATTTAAGTGAAGATCTGGTGTCATTTGCGGGTTGCATATATGTTTGTAGTTTTTTCATAGCCAGTCTTCCATTCAATGATTTCATAATTGATGTTTGCAAACTGGTCTTCTCTGAGGGAAGAGGTGAATGTGGTTTTTAGCCTGTTCAATGAGGGGCGAGAACCTATTTGTAGCACGAGGGGGAAGTGTGAAAAGAAACTGGCATCTAAACTTCTCAACTGTGAAGGGAGAGAGAGAGAGAATACCAGCCCCTCTTATAGAAGAGAGCTCTCTAATTTCGTCTAATGTTGCATGAAATGTCAAATGCATTATCAAACACTGTCAATTGGATTTTCAGATGCTGCTTTAATTGATTTGGCAATAATTTGATTTTTCTTGCAGTCATTATATGCAAACAAAGTTGAAGTTCAAGACTACAAGTTTTTTTGCCTTGCCACAGTTGAAGTGAAAGGCCAGACGCTTACTTTGCTTGGAGTACTTGGTGGTTGGTGGGCTTTGCCATTATCACAGACAGCATTTTCCGTGTTTTTGGATAGTGTGCTTTACTGAGAAATGAAGGTAACTTAACTGCTCTGGGAAATTTTTTTGCTGCTAATCTATATTTTTCTTGATGTTTGGCTTTTCTGGTAGTTGGAGAACATTTGGACAAAGCCCTTGTTTTTCATTTCCCTAAACCTTAATCTACTGTCCTCTGTCCTTTCTTATCCCGTTTTCCTACGTCCATTTGAAATTAATAAACAAATATATCTTCTGCAGGGTTATAACAAGTTTGAATCCCATATCTCTGCAACTTGTATCAAAACAACCGCAATTAATCACCAGTGTTGGTGATTCTGTGAGTCAAATCATAGAGTCTAATCAATGAGATTCCTTGCAAGGCAGCCAAATGTGATGTAGGAAATAATGATATGTTTTATTAATTAAAGAATTTTGCATTTTAGACCAAAAGACAATGATCCTTGAGTTTAGTGTATGCTGGTCTGCAAGTACATTCTAGAATACAATAATTTCGATATTGTCAATCGATTTTGTTACTATCTCTTTTGTTCTTTTTGTTAGGAAGAAAAAGTACAAATTACAAATTTATTCCTAGATTCTCATAATTATGAACAACACTTGTTTCTGCGAAAAAGCTACAGTGTTGAACATTCAGTTTTGAGAAACTATTGAAGAAGTCCGAGGCAGGTGTGCTTTTCTCTTTCATTTTACAAGTATACTATTATTTTTTGGGTCATTGTGAGATATGGTAACTCGGATTTATACCCATATGGGATAAACATATACCGGTAAGCTAAGCTTATGTGGTGTCATTATAAATATTGTTGTCAGCTTGCAGTAGGTAGTCTCTCTGTTGATTCCTTGAAATTTTTTTAGCAATTAGTAGGGAGGTGAATATGGTGAAAAAGAAAAAGTTCATCTCTTGCACTTCATTTCTTTTTGTGTCTCATACAAGCAAGTAGCGGTGTTCTTCATCATCTTCATCGGCCAAATCTCTGTCGCCGGAAGGGCTACAGAACATGCTGCCCCATCGAGGGAAGTAGATTAAGGTGACAGGGAGAGTGCATACTATTATCATAATACCCATTAGAGAAATACTTTTTTGCATTGAGAATCTAGAGCCTGAAAACAATAAGAATTGGGTCACTACTGCACCCAAAGTTCCTCCGCTGCCTGTCATCCCTGATATCACTCCTAGTGACCTGCAAACATACCGCCATAACTTAAAATGTAATACATTACATAGGTGCAATTATTTGGTGTCCTTTTCTTTTGGACTGAGACCAGTTTTTTGATTTCAAGGTTTGACACCATTCTGAAGTGGTACATCGCCTGCTAGGAGCAGGTAGGAGCTTGTTATTAATTTTGTTTTGTTATTGTGTCCAGTACTTCAAAAGCATATGCAAGAAACTGCTTGGTAAAACCAGTAAAGCTGCATTTTGTGGTTTTTACTTCTTGATGTTAAAATATTAATTTTTGCTTTTTTTTAAAATTTTAAAAAATTCATAGTTCTTTTATTTATTATTATTATTTTTTTTTTTGAAAAAATGCAAATGCCAATCAGCGACGGATCGAATCTGCTTGTAAAGATTGTTTTCTGAAGTGTTTGTTTCGTAGTGACAAAGCTTGCAATTTACAAGTAAAGTGCATGACGTACAGGTGCATCCAAGCTTATGTAAGGCTGGTAAGCTGAAAGAGAAGTGCATGACGTACAGGTGTATACAAGTTTATGTAAGAGAAATTTACTGTACAAATTTTGATAACTCTGAATCTTGGAACTTTCCTTCAAAAAAAAAAAAAAATCTTGCAACTTGCATGTGGTGTATGACGCCCAAGTGTGCCAAAAAGGTTGATGCTAAAAAAAATTATAGTACAAGGAAGATGTTTGACAATGAGTTGTGATTGGGTATTTGGATTAGTAACATTGAATCGAATCAAATTTTGAAAAATTCTTGTTTGGTTGGTTTATTAAATAAGGCATAATAAGTTGAGCGCTCTTTAAGTTTAAATTATTTATATTGAAAATATTGGATTTCTAAAAAATATAATTATTATGCTGTAGTTGTATGACTTAAGAATTGAAATTAAAATGATTTCTTAATAAAGCTAATTTTTTAAAGCTATCATTTACCGATTTACATAATGAAAATCATATTAATTATACATTAAAAAAAATATAATCATGTTACGTTAATTTGTAGAGTTTGTATTGTACGTTACCTCTTGGAAACGAAAGGAACAACCCCAAAAGTGAGGCCAGAAGCAGCTTGAACAAATACAGAGAACAAACACACGACAGCAACAGAAGTCCAAAGTGAGTTCATTCTTCCAAGTAAGAAACACGCAAATCCCGCCATTGTTTGCACCACCCACAGCCCCCATAATCTGCCTCTAACCCCAAACCTCCTTCCCATCTTGTCTGAGAAAACCCCTCCCATTGGCCTCGAAAAGCAATTCGCCATTCCAAAACTTGCAGCAATCATCCCTGCAACCTCAACATTCACCCCAAATCTCTCATAAAAGTAATCTGCAATAATATTATCAGTTGTCAATTCTGACCCAAAACAGTACCCGTATGTTAAACCTAGTATCCACCCTCTGTAGTTCTTTAAACCATTAAACAGAACTTGAAGAAAGTTCTCATTAATGGGTTTGCAAGTCCTCTGGGATTTATGTTTTCCAGAGGGCTGATCTTGGCCGTAAGCCAAGACCATTAAAGCTGTTATAGCTTGGAAAATTCCTGGGAAAAGAAATGAGAATCGCCACGCAGTGGATGAAGATGTATCTAATAAACTAATCATTAGTGAGTATATTTGTGGCATGATTAGTTGTGCTACACCGGTTCCAACATTAGCCCACCCGGCGGAGACACCGTTGGCTAGACCTACGACACAGCCTGAGAACATAGAGCTCATCCAGAACTGGTTAGCTACGAAGTTTGCTAATGAGAATCCTGTTAGAAACCGAATTAGGATGAAGGAAGCAGGAGACTTGATAAAACAAGTGCACATTATGATAGGAGCAGTAGCAAGAGAGAGACTGGCGGATGCAACTCGAGGACCGATGAGATCACAAATGGGACCCATTGCAAGGCGGGAGAAGATGGAACCGACGAAGGAGGCGATGTCTGCATTTCCTATATCAGTATCGGTTAGATTAAGGTCAGTGCGGATAATAGGCAGAAGAGGAGGAATGCAGAAGGTGGAGAAGAAGCAAGAGAATAGAGAGAACCATGATAGATGAAAAGCAAGCATGTGAGGTGATGATAATGAAAATGGATTGAATTTAGTAGCTTTTTGTTCATCATCTACTGGAAGAGAGAAAGAAGGTTGTTTTAGAGAGTGATCCTGAGATTCCATGGAGGATTTGGCAAGAAAATCAAGAAAAGAATGTTTGTTATAGGATGGATTGTGTGCATGAGAGACGCTAGGTAATAATTTATACAAGTTAGAGGTGTATGTGTAATGCCGTTTTTTCTGATTATTATCTTGGTTTGTTAGTCTCTGAAATTACGGTTTCAAACTGCAACCTATCATGTATGAAGTTTCGTCCTATTGGAATCTCTTTTTGAGATTAGATTTCTGGTGTTTTCATATTCTTTTTTTTTCTGTTAAACCACGTCACACCGGATTAGTCCATGTGGGTTCGGGAGAACTATAGTTAAATAGGGGTGAGCAAACTTTGAAAAAAACTGAAAATCAAATTATTTTCGATTTTTAGTTCGGTTATTTAGTTTTTGATTTCGATTTTGATTTTCAATCTTTAGTTTTTGATTTCGATTTTGATTTTCAATCTTTTATAATTTCGATTTTTAGTCTTTGCATTAGTTATTGAAAAGTAATTATTTTCTGAATAAAACTAAATTGTTCAATCAAATCGATACAAATCAAATTAACCTGACCAATTTTAATTCCAAACTTATTTCGATGCGGATCAACTTTAACAAATTGGACACTCTTAAAATTAAAGGCTTTTAACAAATTGGACACTCTTAAAATTAAAGGCCTCTCTACGAGAATATTGTCATTAAGGATCAAACCTTAGTCCAATTCTCAGGTGTCTTGACCTTTTACAATTGCAACCCAATTTCATGAGTTTGGTGTTTTTATTTTCTTTTGTAATTTACCAAATAAAAGTAATTTTCATTTCATTTAATTTAGCATCATTTTCTAATGTAACTATTATTAATTTTTCTTTAATCTGTTTATATATTTATTTATGAGATGATTATTTAAGTTTAAAATTGATTATTTCATTATTTCTTTTAGAAATACTTTGCCGATAGTGTGTATATATATCTATTTCTCCTAAACCTAGTTAGCCTATTTTTTATTTCTTTAAGAGGAAAAATATGAGAAGTAGGAGTATACTGTAATTGACGGATTAGACTTGCTTAGACCGAGTCTATAATTCTATTTATGGATCAAATCAATAAAAATATAAATTTTTTAAAAAATTATTGTTACTTTTATCTTCTTTTTCTATTTTAATTAGGAAATATTAATAACTTTTGAACGATTGTCGGTCTCCATAAATTGGTATCTTAAGTAAATAACTAGTCCGAGGAATATTCTAGGTTGAATTACCGTTAAATTTCTAAGTTTCCCCACTTGATTAGACACATTATTATTGCGACAACTCGGTAATTAAACACTAATTACGTATTAACTTTACCTTGTCTTATTTTATAATCTTGTTATCTTAATTAAGAGAACCCTTTTGGTAAGTAACCTTGTAAGACAATCTTTCTCAAGAATGAGCAAACATAATCTGATATATCACATAGTAACGATACTGATAGATCCCAAAATTTTAATTAAAAAATAATGTGAGATAAAGACAGTTTCTACTAACTTTTCTAAAATTTGATCTTTTCTCTTTTCCTGGTAATGGACTATCTTTTGGGTTTCAAGTACGATTCTTTTTGGCTTGGAGTTAATAAAGGATGATTGATGACAAAAGCTTTTTGGCCACTGCCATATGATACCAAAAGAAGGAAGGATGGACGAAGGGATATACGTTGTCTTTTTTAATATTACTTGTTTTGTAGTAATGTGTAGTGAAATTCTAAGTGGTGATGCTCATACATAGCCAGGTTCTCCCGGAGAAATTCTCAGTCAGCTCGATAATAATTTTCAACTTTTCATCTTCTATGCGTGACGTCAAAATTAAGGAGTATACGTCTCAATAAAGCTGAGTAGAGTATTGTTAGGTTTAGGTTCGGTTCATTTTAAAATAGAAAAAAATTTGCCGATCCGAATCCATATCTGTTTATAAATTAAATCAATGAAATGAAAAATTTTTTATTGAAACGAATGTATTTTTTGACTATATTTCAATTGTTATTTCCTCGATTCCGTCGTATTGAGATTGTTGATATTTACCGTAAAGCAAATATGCGTACGTATTGGCTTCCGAAAGCTGCTTCAAATGAGCTTTAAGTATTCATATCCTTGAAAAGCCTCCTTAACATCTCTTAATTTGGCTTGCTCATGATAAGTGATAACTCGAGTATTGCTTATTTTCAAGATGGTTTTAGTTTGTTTTTGATGTTTACTCTTAAGAGAATTCTTTAGGACAAAATACTAAATGTGATATATAATTGGTGTTATAATTAAGGTTACATAAATATTTTTTATGCAATATTTTTTATTAAGGTATAAAAAAATTGGCCGAATTTTTTTCATAAAAGAATAATTGATAGAATTATCAATGGAATCGGTCTTACCAATTTCTTTGTAGAAGAGGGTATAAAATATGTAGAAAGCAGTTGCATCTCTTTTTGTATTTATTTTGTGAATTAATCTTTTTAGTAATTTACTACTTTTTTTTTTCAATTTGTAAAAATTTCAATTATTTATTATATATTCTTTATTTATTTTTTCATATAATATAAGAATTTTGATGATAATCTTGATAGGTGGAATGTTCAAAGGCCTCTTAATAATTTTTCATTAGTTAGATGAGAGATACTAAATTTGAATTTGGAACTTGTACTCTCTCTCTCTCTCTAACTTTAATGATAGCAATCCGACAAGACTTTAATTAATGAAAGAAAGGTGGGACGGAGTTGATATATATAAAAAAATATGAATGTGATGTTATGACCAGTGATGTACATACAATCTATATAATAGTGAGAATGAAAAAAGAACGTTGGGATCGATAAAAAAAAAAAAAGTTAAATTTGATAATGATAAAATGTTGTCTAACGAATAAATTAAAAATCGATATAAAGTAAGATTGTTCATATTGATTTACACATTAAAAAAAACATTCTCTTTCATGGTGTTACAAGAAAAGTCTTGTATCATCTTTTCACGACAATTTATGAAAAAAATTAATTTTAATCATCATCACCTAATTAATAATCCTTGTAGAAAAGATCATTGATATATTATGATAAAAGATATAGACAATTGGAATACAAATAAAATCATTGTTGTCATGTGGTGATTTTTAACTTATAAAATCAATATAAGCAATCTTACCCCATATCCATTTTTAATTTATTCATTAGTCAATATTTTGTCATTACTAAAATTAATCATGTTTTTTTATCAATTACGGTGTTCTTTTTTCCATTCTCACTATTATATAGATTATAAATACATCTATGGTCATGACATTACATTCATATTAATTTTTTTTAAATCAACTTCATCGCACCTCTATTCTATGAAGGACATCATATTAAATATTATTAATTTGAGATATAACTTAATTGGATGAGGAGCAGTGATTCAAATAATATGTGAGTGTGCCATTTGATGTGGGAACAGGGGTTTGAACCTTCCCCATGCCATTTTTTATATTTTCATTCTCTCCTTTTTTTTTTTTTTTTTTTTTTTTTTTTTTTTTAATCATTGTGGAGTGTGCCATTTGATAGTGGAAACAGGGGTTTGAACGTTCCCATGCCATTTTTTTATTTTTCATTCTTCTCCTTTTTTTTATTTTTTTTTTTTTTTTTTTTTTTGGCTCCATAGCCTATATATCATTTCCCTTATTTTTTGGGTATGCCAATCCAAAAATCCTTTTAGAGTCCAAACTCACTTACTCTTTTTCAAGGCCCTCCTCTCCATTTACCCACGTTTTACATTCTTTTTTTTTTTTTTTTTTTTTTTTTTTTTTTTGTGCCTCCATAGCCTATAATATCATTTCCCCTTATTTTTTGGGTATGCCAATCCAAAATCCTTTTAAGAGTCCAAACTCACTTCATTCTTTTTCAAGGCCCTCCATCTCCATTTACCCACGTTTTACATTCTACGGTTGTTAAGTGTATATCATATAAGACTTCAATTATTATAGTTATAAAGGGAATCGCCTTATTTCCACTTACTCACTTTTTGCATTCTATATTTGCTAAGTGTATAACATGCAAGACTTCAATAATTATAATTATAAAGAGAATCACATTATTTCAATTTACCACATTTTTGTATTCTACATTTGCCAAGTGTATAACGTGCAAGACTTCAATCATCATAGTTGTAACGAAATCACATTATTACTCTTTTTACATTTTCCACATGCCAAGCGTATAACATGCGAAATTTCAATCATTGTAGTTACGAAGAGAATCATCTTTTGTAAAGACAATAATTACAAATAAATCATATCCATTATAATTATAAAGGACAACTAGGTAAATTCACAATCAAAATGTTTTTTTTGTTAAGCCTTGTACATATTGTGGCATTTAGCACCGCTCTTAAAATTATTACCAACATTTGTTCGATACAAATTGATATCACCTTTATGAATAAGCTCAACCAATCCTCCCTAAGATACCAGAATGTCCAAATTTGAATTTTCGCGCTTTAGGCTTTACCAAACCATTATGCGAGGCACAATTTTAAAGATCCTCTCCCAAAACCCGAATTCCTATACTTTACATTCACAGCCAAACACGGCACATTCTCCCTTCAATTTCTCGTCTTCTGCCGCCCAATTTCTCTTCAACTAACTTAACTGCCTCTTACCTTGTCCCACATGAAAAATGCCCTCAAAACTCTATTGTCTATAAATCCATCAACCCATTTCAAAGCTTATAAAGAAACCTGTGTTTCTCTCTTGAAAAATCTCACTAACCAATGTTCAATCAGAGAAGGAACTGCCTTTCATGGCCATTTAATTAAAATGGGTATTTCGTCAGAGCGATATATAGCAATTAAGCTCTTGATAATGTATCTAAATTCTCGGAAATCAGCTGAAGCAAGTGAGATTTCAAAGGAATTTAATGGTTTTGATCTCGTTGTGCATAACTGTATGATAACTGCTAATGTACAATGGGGAAACATCGATGGAGCGCGTAAACTGTTCGATGAAATGCCTGAAAAAAATGAAGTTTCTTGGACAGCGTTAATTTCAGGTTTTATGAAATATGGAAGAGTGAAAGAATCAATTTGGTACTTTGAAAGAAATCCCTTTCAGAATGTGATATCTTGGACTGCAGCAATTAATGGATATGCAAACAATGGGCTTAGTGTTGAAGCTGTAAGGCTGTTCTTGAAGCTTCTTGAATCTGGGGTTAAGGCAAATAACGTTACATTTACTTCTGTTGTAGGAGCTTGTGCAGATTTGGGTGATTTCGGATTGGGAATGAGTGTTTTAGGATTGATAGTTAAAACTGGATTTGAAAATAACTTAGCTGTTTCTAATTCTTTGATTACGTTATGCTTGAGAATAGGTGAACTAAATTTGGCTAGAAGAATATTTGATGATATGAAAACGAGAGATGTTGTTTCTTGGACAGCAATACTAGATATGTATGTAGAAATGGGTGATTTGGGAGAAGCGAGAAGAATCTTTGATCAAATTCCGGAAAGAAATGAGGTTTCTTGGAGTGCAATGATTGCGAGGTATAGTCAAAGTGGTTGTCCTGAAGAGTCGCTAAAACTCTTTCAAAGGATGGTTCAAGAAGGATTTAAGCCAAATATTTCTTGTTTTTCTAGTATTTTAAGTGCATTGGTTAGCGTTGAAGCTTTGCGAGCAGGAATGGACATCCATGGTCACGTTATAAAAATTGGGATTGAAAATAATGTTTTTGTCAGTAGCTCTTTGATTGATTTTTATTGTAAATGTGGAGAAACTAATAATGGACGCTTAGTATTTGATTTGATTTCGGAGAAGAATGTGGTTTCATGGAATGCTATGATTGGAGGGTACAGTTTGAATGGGCAAATCAAAGAAGCAAATGATTTGTTCCATATCATGCCACTGCGTAATAATGTCTCCTGGAGTTCTATAATTTCTGGCTATTTAAATTGTGAACAATTCGATAAAGTATTTGAAGTCTTCAGTGAAATGCTTTTGTTAGGAGTAATTCCAAATAAATCAACCTTCTGTAGCTTGCTCTGTGCTTGTGCGAGTTCATCATCTTTAGACAAGGGTAAGAACCTACATGGAAAGATAATTAAATTAGGGATTCAACGTGATGTTTTTGTAGGCACTGCTCTGACTGATATGTATGCAAAATCTGGAGATATTGTGAGCTGTAGGCAAGTTTTCAATAGAATGCCAGAGAAGAATGAAGTTTCTCTGACTGTGATGATTCAAGGGCTTGCAGAAAGTGGTTTTGCAGAGGAATCGCTTAAGTTGTTCGAGGAAATGGAAAAAACTTCACGAATTGTTCCTAATGAGCTTATGCTTTTATCAGTTCTGTTTGCTTGTTCTCACTCTGGATTAGTTGATAAAGGACTCCGGTATTTTAATTCAATGGAGGTTGTTTATGGACTAAAGCCTAAGGGAAGGCATTATACCTGCATTGTTGATATGCTATCTCGAGCAGGACGACTCGATGAAGCCGAGGAGTTTATTAACGCCATGCCATTTCAGCCTGAAACTAATGCATGGGCAGCTTTGTTAAGTGGTTGTAAGACTTATAAAAATGAGGATTTAGCCGAGAGAACGGCTAGGAGGCTTTGGCAAATAGCAGAGAAAAACTCTGCACTTTATGTATTGCTGTCAAATATCTATGCTTCTTCTGGAAGATGGGAAGATGTTTTGAAAGTCAGGAAATTAATGAAGGAAAAGGGATTGAAGAAGAGTGGCGGTTGTAGTTGGGTTGAGGTTAGAGATAAAGTCCATTCTTTTTATTCAGAAGATGGAGCTCACTCTCAGTCAGTTGAGATTTATGCGATTTTAGAGCTTTTGAGATTTGAAATGCTCAATCAATATAATATATAGTACACCTCTAAAGTTTTCTACTCTCCACTCAAAAGAGTAGAGCTTTAGAGTAATTTTGTCTACACTTGTACTTAATGGAGAACCACTCATATATATGAAATCCTTTTGTCATGATTTAATCAAATCTTGTCTTGAATTAGAACTACCAACAGGTCGTTGGATCAAGGGTAGTGGAACATATTAAGATTTTATCTGAACAAGTGAATATTAAACATTGGGAAAAAAAATATACAAAAGTAATAATTACACGTTTGAAATTGTATGAGTGACATGAAACGCACGTGCCAAATTAATAAGTACTAAATAATTTTTTGAAAAGGTTGAAATGGTTAAAAAAAAAAAAAAAAAGCTTTTGAAATGAAAGTGAAAGCTGTATCTAAGACCGACGTAACTGGAAAAAGAAAACTTTAGCAATTAGGCCGAGAAAAATAGGGCCCATATAAAAGACCAGGCCCATTTCAGCCCAATTTAATTGTCTCCGCCTCAAATCTTGGCGCGTTTTTTTTTTTTTTTTTTTTTTTTTTTTTTTTTTATTTGCTCAGTATCTCATACTAATCGTCTTTCTGAGCTTTTAAATTTCACGCATTTCGTGTTTTTTTTTTTTTTTTTTTTTTTTTTTATTTGCTCAGTATCATACTATCGTCTCTAGCTTTTAAAATTTCACCGCATTCGCTGCTCGAACTGGTAACGTAGTCATCTTTTCTGCCTCAAAGCTTGGCGCTTCTCTCTCTCTCCTCTCTGTGTCTCTCTTCCGCTTTCTACCTGAACTGAAGTAAGTGATTAGAGACAATGCTGAATAAATTTCAATAGATATATATGGCGATATTTTCATCTCTTACTTCAATTCTAGTGCTTACATAAAATGATCATAGTTTGGATCGATCTGTTCTTCTACAATTACTGGATTTCTCTACAAATTCTATTTTCGTCAATGAATTACTTTTCAATTTTGTTCCAGATTTGATGATAAGCAAACCAAGAGTATGGTAATTAATAGCTTTTCTGTAATTTTTGCCATAGATGTACGGTATTTTGTTTTCTAGGAAACCAGCTTAACTTTAACATTAATGGTTATGGATGTTTTGTATTTGATTTGATATGTATTTAGTTTCTTGATTATTTGTTTCCTTCCTTTTTAGAAGTGATCTCCGCATATACTTGTGAACTGTTATGTCTATTACTTGTATGACAATATGTTTTGATCTTCTTGATAATAATAGCTCTGATTTGTTCATTTTCCGCAGTAAAGAGGTTCAGTAATGGATTCATATACGCTCAAGTCTGTGTCAGATTTGCCTGTAACATTTCGTTCAATTTTTAGTTTCAGGTACTATACCTATTGATTTAAGTCTATCAATTTTACATGAAGCTTACTAGTTAGGTAATATTACACTTTTTACCTTGCTTTTAATTCTATTTATCTGTAATATCCATAAGACCGCAAATTCTGATAACAGAAATTTTTTACACTGATTTGTTTTCCTTTGAAGCGTAGGATGAATAAACTTGATATTTCACCAGATGAAACTTGATCTCAAATGGTTTAGTATGTTCTTGTTTCTTTTTGGTTCAGGTACTTTAATTCACTGCAAAGTGAATGTTTTCCTGTTTGTTATCATTCTGATGTAAATATGGTTATCTCTGCGCCTACTGGAAGTGGTAAAACAGTGCTCTTCGAGCTTTGTATACTGAGGCTTCTCTCAAGGTTCATATCTGAGGGGAGGTTTGTGCACATCAAGGGAACTCTCAAAACAGTATGTATTCAAACACAAGGACAATAAAAGTTGATAATGGATGTTTTATTTTTGTTATTCAGAAGATATAGAGAACAACTGTTTGTTTTTACATTTACAACCTTCAGGCTGTGATGCTCATTTTACTGTTTCATGACTAGTTTTTATTTTAATCAAGAATAGGATTCTCTTGTACCTGGATGTGGGACTATAAGTTCTTCTATTTCCAGCTAATAGCATGTTAGTTATTACCTGCTCTACTTCTTTCATGTGGTGTCAAGATCTACGTAGCACCATCAAAGGCTTTAGTTCAGGAGAAGCTCCGGGATTGGAATAAAAAATTTGGATCATTGGGAATAAATTGCCTGGAGTTGACAGGGGACAACGAATTTTACAACATAAGGACTGTACAAGAAGCTGACATAATCCTAACTACTCCTGAGGTCAGTTTGAGAAAACATGGAGAGCCCTTGAATTCTAATAATAACACTGAAATTAATATATGGCCCTTGAATAGAAGTATATTGGCTAGTATCATACGTAACCAGAGATGTACCTACATAATTGCTGAAGAAAAAGATGTCTGAATCATGTTTCACGTTCCAATAGAATGCTTTCCAGTTTGGATTTTTGATCTATGATTTGTCATTTATCCATTTTATATTCTCAACAACATCATTTTTCCTTTATACAGAAGTTTGATGCTGTGACTCGATATCGCATAAAGGATGGTGGCTTGAGCTTTTTCAGTGACATAGCACTGCTACTTATCGATGAGGTTCACCTACTGAATGATCCACGTGGAGCAGCTTTGGAAGCCATAGTTAGTAGAATAAAAATGCTAGCACATAACCCTGAAATGAAATCAAGTCCTCTATCTTGTGTCCGCTTACTTGCAGTTTCAGCCACAATTCCTAACATTGAGGACATTGGTAATCACACAAGTTAATATGAGCAATTTTAGTTTCTATTTGTAACATTGACAAGATTAAACAATTTGCTCTTTGCGTGTCAACAACTGCAGCTGAATGGCTTAGTGTTCCTGTCCAAGGAATTAAAAGGTACCTTTTATGATACTAGTTCTTATCATCTCGTACATTCATCTCAATATTCTACAATATTGTACAGGTTTGGAGAAGAAATGAGACCTGTGAAGTTGACAACTAAAGTTTTTGGTATACCTATCTTTGTTGATTGCTTCATTTGAAAATTTGATTCTCAATAAGTGCATTAATATACTCTATTTAATGACCACAATTGAAAGATGCACTATATGGAAGGGTCATTTATATCTGCTCATTCCCCTCCATATAGTTTCTGCCATGTGCTTTTTTTCTATTTAATAGAGATGACCGCATATTTCAATTTATATAACTGGTGTTACACTGTATTCCCATGGTCCTTTTGCAGGCTACACCCCAGCAAAGAATGATTTTCTATTTGAAAAGGTAAGTTCTTATCATAGTGAAGTTCTAGATGATCTGCATTTTTACCTTCTGTCTCTCTCTCTCTCTCTCTCTCCCCCTATATATATATATATATATATATATATTACACTGTATTCCCCACATAGGTCTTGCAGGTCACCCAGCAGTGTAAGAATGATTTTCCTATTGCAAAAGGTACAGGTTCTATCATAGTGAAGTTCGTAGATGATCCCTTGCATTTTTACCTTCTGTCCCTCCTCTCGTCTCTCTCTCTCCCCCTATTATATATATATATATATATATATAGGATTTTCTTATGATGATGGTTGTATCTCATTGTTCTGAATCCTTGTATTCTCCTTCCTCTTAACAGCGCCTTCAAAACTTACATATTTGGTAAGTGACACCATTTGGACACCAAACTTATTTATAGAATTTGTTTTGTATGTTCTGATTTTTCTTCTTCTGGATCTCTCTCTCTCTCTCTCTCTCCCCCTATATATATATATATATATATATATAGGATTTTCTTATTGATTTGGGTTGTATCTCATTGTTCTGATCCCTTGTATTTCTTCCTCTTACAGCGCCTTCAAAACTACATATTTGGTAAGTGGAACCATTGGACCAACTTATTATTAGAATTTTGTTTTGTATGTTCTGATTTTTCTTCTTCTGAATTTTCACTTCCAAAGTGGTTGTAACTGAAACACTTGGTTACAACTGTCTGCAGATCTTCTGATACAATATTCAAGAGGAAAATCTGCTCTTGTTTTTTGCTCAACCAGAAAAGGAGCACAAGAAGCAGCACAACGACTGTCTCAGATAGCAATGACCTTTGGCTATTCCAATCCATTCATTAAAGACAGAGAACAGCAGGAAAGGCTAAGGGAAGCTTCACTATCATGCAGTGACAAACAAATGCAATCCTATATCCTTTATGGTGGTACGTGGCAACTTGTTGCACTATATTATACCTAACATTGACAAGCCGTTCCTCAAGTTAACATTTACTGTAAATTTAGCAGTTGGTTATCACAATGGCGGGCTTTGCTTGAAGGATCGGAACCTTGTTGAGGGCCTCTTTCTCAAGGGTGATATTCAAATTCTGTGCACAACAAACACACTTGCCCATGGAATCAACTTACCAGCACATACAGTCATCATAAAATCAACACAGCACTTGTATGTCGAGCACTTTTTCCTATAACTTTTTTTAATAGAATTAATGAAATTAGGGGACTTTTCACGTTTAATTCATGCAAACCTCTAATTATTACAGCAACAAGGAAAAAGGTCTTTACATGGAATATGACCGATCTACAATACTACAGGTGTTCTACTCTTGATATTATGTGACTAGTTTTACAAAATTATTCTTCTGTAGATGTAACAGACATATGGACTTGAAATATGAACACCACAGCCATGTATTCTTATATTACTCTACGTGGTTTTTATTTTTTTTGCTCATGTATGAAATTTATATCTGGATAATGGCTGAAGAATATAGTCTGAGGAACTGGTGGAGTGATTCCTTCCCTGTTGTTAATTCATTTAGAGGATGTTTTATTGATTAGCAATCATTATAATCTAATGTGTTACTGCTTTGTGAAAGTTTTTGGATGAAAATGATCTAATGTGCCGTTTGATGAGCTATAATTAACGTGATGTAATAAAAGTATTTCTAGTCTATGTTTAAATTAGAAATGCATTTAATTAGATTATATTGCATTTCATTACTACTCACCAGGTGGGGCCTGAGAGTCTTAATTACTGTCTGGAATGTAGGAGGACAGCCCCATTTAAATAAGAAAGCTTTTTTCTGCAAAGAGGTTTTCTTCTAAATTCTAAAACCCGTAAAAAGGTGAAAGGGAAATCAATGAGAAGACAGTAATGTGGATGGATAGCAATATATGCATAGTGATTCTAACCATGTCTCCCCAGAAAGAAAAGAATAAATTTTCTTTCGATTTCATGAGTGTACCCTAAATTTCCATACTCACTGGTGCGTTGATATTTAACTGTTGTGCAGATGTGTGGAAGGGCTGGTCGGCCTCCATTTGATGATACAGGAATGGTTATAATTATGACAAGAAGAGAAACAGTAATCAATGGCCTTCTTCTCTCCATCGGTTGTAGATATTTTTTTTGTTACTAAGTTCCATTTTGCTGTCTTTCAGTTATAATTTGATACATAATTTCAGGTCCATCTTTACGAGGATCTATTAAATGGATGTGAAATGGTGGAATCACAGTACGTTTATAACCTAGAATCTCCATAGTGATGTCATTAACTTGGACAACAGTTCACATTTTATGAAAAATTATTATTTTCTTTTTTGGTTGCTGATTTTTTTCTTGTTATTTTTAGATTGCTTTCTTGTGTGACAGAGCACCTGACTGCAGAGATAGTTCAGTTAACTGTTTCTGATATTGCAAGGGCGATTGAGTGGATGAAGTGCTCATATTTATACGTGAGAATGAAAAAGGTATCTATTTCTGAGAATCTTGTAGAGGATATCACCTGTATCTTTCATTTAATAGCTTCAGAATTGTTAATGCATTGCATGTTAGAACCCTGAGAAATATGGAGTTAGAAAAGGGATTTCAAGAGACCGAATAGAAAAGCATCTGCAAGGTACCATTCTTATACTGCTATGATTACTGTTATTCTCCCCTCTACACTTCTCATCAAATGAAATTCCATGCCAGAGATTTCTGTTAAGAAAGTTAATGAGTTATCACAGCAGCAAATGATCTGGGCTGGTGAAGATGGGTTCCTTCTGAAGCCACTTGGTATTGTATAGCCACATAGCTGAATCTTTCTGTTGTTGTGGATGGAAATTATAATTCTATCCTCTTTTGTGCTTGCAGAGCCTGGAAGGTTGATGACCAAGTACTATTTGAAATTTGATACAATGAAACACATTATGCAGACCCCAGATAACTGCAGTTTGGAAGATGCGCTCAATGTCATATGCCGTTCAGAGGAAATTGCATGTATGTGTACCTGTACCTACTCATTCAACAGTTAATAGGAGGAATGATGTACTTAGTTGCTGAAATGAAGGGATACAACTCAGACGTGCTGAGAAGAAACTTCTAAATGACATTAACATTGACAAAGATGGCCGACTTCGCTTTCACATAAATGGTGATAAGGGAAAACGAAAAAAGCGTATTCAAACAAGAGAAGAGAAGATATTTATTTTGGCAAATGATTGCTTGACTGGGGATCCTTCAGTTCATGATTTATCCCTAACCCAGGTTTTATTTTTTCCATAACCCAATAGATTTGATTATTTTGTCTCATCCTTGAAACTTTGCTTACGAAATTCTCCTGTTTGCACTAGGACATGAATTCTATATGCTTAAACGGTTCTAGAATTGCCAAGTGCATGAAGGAGTATTTTATTTTCAAAAAGAATTATAGAGGAGCTGTAAACTCGATCCTTCTTGCCAAATCATTATATCAGAAACTCTGGGATGATAGTCCATACTTGTTGAAGCAATTACCTGGCATCGGAATGGTGACCGCAAAGGTTTTATTTGCCTCTGTTGAACACGATTTATTTTTCCTGAATGAGAAATCTTTGTATCTCAAATGCTTCTGTTTCTTCAATTTTTTTAACTCTGTTGTGCAAGGCTCTTCATTCAATGGGAATTAAGTCATTCGATGAACTAGCTGAAGCTGATCCCAGGAGAATCGAGATAGTCACTGGCCGAAAATTTCCTTTTGGGAATCATATCAAGGATTCTCTACAGTCATTACCTCCAAAAGTCAATCTTAGCATTGAGGAAAATGTTGGCCTGAGGCAAGGAAAGTCCAGGCTAGTAGTGACACTCACTAGGTTATCACAATCCATCCAATCAGCTAAACGACATTTCGCTGATATGGTATGTTCTCCAGAGCATATTTGCTATATTTTCTTCAACCCTGAATGAAGTTATGAGAACTTTTGTTTAGAGATTATTGTTTAAGAATGCGGGAAACTGAATTTCTTTCCCTTTTCTTTTTCTTTTCTGTTACAGATTGTTGGTACAGAAGAAGATAACCTCATTCACTTTCATGAGAAAATAAGGTGATGAATGATTTGTTTACTTCTAGTGATCTGATAGTGGTCCAGTAATTCAACTATTCAAACATCATAATAAAAGGATCTTTCCAAAGCATATATCTTACGTGCTCACTTACTCTCCCATACCTTTTGATCTGGAAAACTTCCTTTTGTCTTGTACACAATTTTTCAGTCTAAGTAATACCCATTCTATATTATGCTTGATCCTTTACACGCAACATTAATTCTCACTCACTTTCTGTTTGATCTGCCTTGGATGCAGCAGAGTTGATGAATTCACCAGGTAACAGAGACTCAACTACCCTTCATATTAGTAAAAAAAAAACAAATACAATCGTTCTTATACCATTTTTCTTCCTATTGCATGAAATTATCAAAGTTTTTGAAACAAGTTGGAAAAGGTCATGGACATAATGATTTATGAAGGCAATATCCTGAACCAAATTCTAACATTTGAAATAACCTAGATTTTAATCTTTACACCGATTATTTGATTACAAATGTTAAAAACTACCAGCAATTATCACTTATATGAAATTTTGCAACAGCAGAACCTAATTAGCAATAAGAGTCAATTACTTGGGGAAAACGGAAGGACCTGTGCTTAAAAGAAGACTATTTTGCTTGTGTTCTGGTACTTCAGAACAGAACGTTTAGTCAATTCGCTTATGCATTTTGAGGCTCAGGTGATTGGTTTTCATTGCAGCCCCTACAGTCCATCAATTCTCCTGTCGATCCCCCAAGAAAGCAAGCTAACGGTGAAGGCTGATCTAGTTTTTGAAGAATACAGTAAAAACCCTGTCAAATATGTCAAAATTTCAAATTTCTTGAGTTGTTATATTCATTTATGTTAGTGTTCCTGCAGTTGGCCTTGATTTCCATCAAAAAATCATACTAACAAAGGACGGAAATTCAGACATGAATTACAAACATGGGCATAAGCAGCCTGTCTTCTTTCCTTCACCTGAGGAAGTTTATATCATGAGGGATGATAATGAAACTACGTCTTATGCATCATTTGAAAAGCCAGGCAATTCGACAAAATCTAAAGCAGAAAAAAGCTCAATGTGAGTTTGTTCTTATTTTGTGGGAGATTCTTCTGATATTAAAATTGCCTTACTATATAAAGTTCTGATCCATTAGATGCAATGAGGCTCTTTCTGTATAATTCCTTTCTTTCTCGGTTCATCTATTCTAATTTTGTTAAACCATTCAATTTTTCCGTCCAGGCCTAGTTTTATACTGATAGATGAAGAGGTGGAAGAAAGTATTGCTTATGGTAAATCTCTACAATTTTGTGATTTTATTTTTTCTGATGCTATCTTCACCGTCTGTTATTCCTTGAAATACAGAAGGTGATAATGCTGTTCAAATTGAAAAGGATGATTGTAAAATCCTATCCGAACAGACAATATTTGACCACATACGTCAAAAGGCCAAGAACTTCCCTGTCTTTACTCCTTCAAAAATTTCCTGTTCTCCATTATCAGAGGCCTTGCTTTTCAGAAGAAAGCGCCACAGTGAGGACCTTGAACTTGACAATAAACTGGATGTCATAGAAGAAACGGAGAAAATCAGAATCCCACAACAGATTGTCTCAAATCTAACTTCAGAAACCAGAGAGGTCGAACAAAATGAATCTCGTATTGACAACTATACTTCTGGAAGCTTGGCTATTAAGAACTTCATAGATTATAAAGGTGCACCCTTTACCAGATAATAGTACAAAATCATTTTTTAGCTTTGTATTTCTTTTTCTCATTTATTAATTTTGATTATTCAAGGTGGACATCCTTCTGAACCTGAGAAAAGCATGTTGAGAAGTTTAACTGGAGAAACAATATTTGGTCACATAAGAGAAAGAGCTGATAATTTTCCAGTATTATCAAGGACAATTCAATCCCAGTCCCCAATCTGGACAAAGGAACAAACTGTTGTGAATCGACCCGAGTTTTCCATTGCAGCATCTGATGCATTGAGAGAAATGAAGTCTGATGATAAGCTCATAAAAAATGCTAAAATAATTTCAGATTTGGAACCTGAAGGGAAAGTCATGGATATCTGCAGTTCCAAGACAGAAGCAAAGGTGAAGGAGAACAATTTGTCTCAAAGTCCATGCCAAAAATATGAGAGTTCAAGTATCACTCCAAAAGTGCCAAACATTAATAATGACTCATCACCAATTAAGATTTTATCTTTTGACATTTCTATGATAAAGGATAACACTCGATCAGTGAACTCGTCAAGCTCCATGGAATATAGCAGGAAGCAACACTATTCTCCAAATGGATCAAAAAGACAGCGCTGCTCCTTGGCAATGGCAGGTAAAACAAGGGAAGTAGATTCATTTCTTGGATTTGAAAGTGTGTTTTCATTTCTCTGATTTCTGGTTCTTGGTAATATAAGTGGTTGGAGAAGTGTCAGAGTCGCAAAATTCGTTTCATATATTCTACACTCCACTTTATAGTTGTTTTCCTTTTCCTTTTACCTTTTCTTTTTTTTTTTTTTTTTTTTTTTTTTTTTTTTTTTTCTGATGCATCTCGGACAATAGAGAAATGAAGTCTGATGATAAAGCTCATTAAAAAACATGCGAAATAATTTCGTATTGAACCTGACGGGAAAGTTCAGGATATCTGCCAGTCTCCAAGACAGAAGCAGAATCCGTTGAAGGAGAAACCAATTGTCTAAAGTCCCCATGCCAAAAAATATGAGAGTTCAAGTATCACTCCAAAAGTGCCAAACATTAATATAAAATGCTCAATCTACAAAATTAAAGATTTTTTATCTGTTGACAATTTCTCATGATACAAGAGATAACACTCGAATCAGGAACTTGTCAAGCTTCATGGAATATAGCAGGAAGCCAAAAACACTATTCTCCAAGATGATCCAAAAAGGACAGCGCTGCTCCGTGGCAATGGCACGCGTAAAACAGGGAAGTAGAATTCATTTTCTTGGATTTGAAAGGTCGTTTTCATTTCTCTGATTTCTGGTTCTTGGTAATATAGTCGGTTGCTGTATGATAGAAGTGCAGAGCCTATCATGCAAAATTCCGTCATATATTCTACACCTCCACCTTTAATAGTTGTTTTTCCTTTTCCGCTTTTACCTTTTCTTTTTTTCTTTTTTTTTTTTTTTTTATTTTTATTTTTTTTATGGAATTATGAGTCCTTTTCATAGGCTTTTCTTCATACTATAACCCTTGCAACTTTGCCATTTGGCCCTTACTTCGTAGGCTGAGCAGAATAAGTTTTAAACGCTTTTTTTTTTTTTTTTTTTTTTATGAATTATGAATGTCTTTTAGCTTTTCTTTTCTCTCCCACTTGCAACTTTGCCATTTGGGCCTTACTTCGTAGGCTGAGCAGAATAAGTTTTAACTGATTGAATTAAATCGATCCAACTGCTTCAGGTTAATTTGATTTTTTAAAAATTATTTTTAGTTTCAATTTTAATAGAAAACATGTTTTCGATTTGGTTTGATAAATTATGTAAACCTGAAAAAAAATAAAAAAGAATTATCAAAGTCAAATTTATTTAACCCAAAAATTAAATTAAATTCAATTGATTTATTTGTAAGTTCACTGTGATTTGATTTTTCTGATAAAAAAATTAATTTATTCATTTAAATTGATCGGTGAAATCTACAATATTTAAGAAATGCATTTGAAATTTTAGATTTTTATGTATTTGAATTAGTATTTTTTTTTTTTATTAACTTTGTAAAATTTTATAATTAAACTAAATTCTTTAGTAAAAATGTTTACTCCCTTTCTTACATTTGGCAGTTTTTTTAATTTAAAGAGTTAAAAACAATGAAAAAAATAAAATTCATTGACTAAATTACTTTTTATTAAATTAATTGAAAGATAAAATTAAATTAAAATAATTAATATTCTCTTAATATTTAAAAATGCCAGCTAAAAAAAATCAGTAATGGTTTAACGGATCGAAGGGAGTAGAAAATTAGCACTTAAGACTAGATTTTAGTGTAGGCTAAACTTTTTGATCTCTAAATTTTTCGTAAGTGCTTTGTCTCTGGGAAAAAAACTTGCATGAATCCAAGTGCATGGAAGCAACGTGGCAACTAACGTGGCACAAAACTGTGAACTCTTTTCAATGAGCTGCCAAACTTTTATTTTAGTCTAGCTTCTTCTAAATTCCTTCTTCTCACTCTCAAAGAACACACACTCTCTGCGCTGGTTAGTTGTATACTTCCATTGACAATCACTGGTAAGTTCCTGATTTTGTAATATTTGAAATTGCAATGTTTTTTATTTTTTATAATTATGAATTGCAATATTGTATTTTTATTATCGATTAATGTTGCCTGATATATATTGCAAGATTAATTAGCTTTGACCATTTCTTTTTTAATTTTGATTTTCTGGATTGGAATAAATTTTCCAATAATAAAAATTCAAGAATTTAAAAAATCAACCCCACTATGAATTAATTAATCAATAAAAAATGAGAAAATAACATCTAAATGCATGTTTGAGGCTGTGAATGCTTTTCCAGAGAAGAAAAACAAATGGGTGCAGCTAAAAAGTTAGGGCATGGTGTTTACAGAGGTCCAAGTGTATTGAAAGAGATAGTTTATGGAATAAGTCTAGGGCTTGCAGCTGGTCTTTTATGGAAAATGCATCATTGGAATAACCAGAGAAGAACCAAAGAATTCTATGATCTTCTTGAGAAAGATGAAATTACTGTTGTGGTAGAAGATGAGTAGCTGCTGTTATTTTAGCCACTACTACTGCTAGCTATATGTTTCTTTTCTGGGTTTTTTCAAGAGTTAGTTTATTACTGTATGACTAACATTTATAGATTGTTAGATTATGATACAGCATAGATGTCAAGTTGTCTACCTAATTAATATGTATCCTCGTACTATACGAAACTGTTTCCTCCGACAAGATAATAATGTAATGAATGGATTTTTTTTTTTTTTTTTTGAATGGTTGGTATATATATAAAAAGATCTCATGTTCCTTTTGGGTTTAAATTAAAATAGTTGGCATATAAATGTATCGAAGAGCAATATATATGATAACTACTTATCTCCAATGTAGTTGAGAATATGTCTTCTATTAAAGATAATAATTCAAAGTCTTCCCTCAGAAAAAAAAAAAAAGATAATAATTCAAAAAATAATATAAATCATAAAATATGGTTTTCAATGAATTTTTTTAAAATGAAAATTCAAAGTGTTCCATTAGTTTTAAAATAAAAGTTGTTTAAGGTTTTTCCACGTAATAGTAATGTAATTAAATTGCCCTATCTACGAAAATAAAGGTAACATAAAAAAAAACATCTATAATTTAATTAAATTGCCCTATCTACGAAAATAAAGGTAACATAAAAAAAATTAATTAAATTGCCCCTATCTCTTACCCCGAAAATAAAGGTAACATTAAAAAAAAAAAAACCATCCTATTTAATCGGACATACACATTGATGAAATTGCCCTATCTACGAAAATTAAAGGTAACATTAAAAAAACATTCTTATTTATTGGAAATAAACATCGATTTGCCCTATCTACGAAAATAAAGGTAACATAAAAAAAACATCTATTTATGGAAATAACATCGATTAAATTGCCCTATCTACGAAAATAAAGGTAACATTAAAAAAAACATCTATTTATGGAAATAACATTGAAAACAACATCTATCTATGTAAAGGTAATATTAAGAAAAAATTATTTATTATTTTTTAAAATACTCAAAATAATTACGTATTGAAATATTCAAAATGATTTATATTTTAGAATAAAATAATTTACCTAAAAACGATTTACTACATCGGTAACTCTATTCCATAATACTTATCACATTTAAGAAAATAGTTTGTTCTAAAATATTCGTCACATTTATAGTTTCATGGAGTAATAAATGTTTTTTTCATATTTACTATTTGCATATAATTAATAATTATTATTTCAATTTAATATTTTTTTTGGAAAATTAATAATATTATCAATTTACTCGATCATTTATTATAATTTAGACATATTTAATGATTTTATTAAGGAGCGTGAAATTCTAAATTTATTATAGCAATTAAAAGTCGGCTGATGGGAAAGAGTAATTAAAAGTCGGCTATCCTGATAGCCAACTGAGAGTAAACGAAATAAATGAAAGAAAACGAAATAAATGAATGATGTGGAGTTACAACAACTTCATGGCCACAATCTTGTCACCCATGTTTAATGAAGGCTACTATATGCCAAATGATGTTTGGCCTAACGGCACAAACTCATACAGATTTTAGGTTGCACCCCCTTCTCATTTTTGTTAAAATTTGTAATATATTCTACTGCTGTCATAAATGAAGGTCTATTGTAATTTGTAATGAAAGTTATAATTGAAAAATGCTTGAACCGTAGCACTGTAAAACTTAATTGATGGAAAAATATTAAAGGTTTGATATGAATGAGAAAAAAATTCATAAAAAAAATGCAATGGAGGTAAAAGATAGAGATAAAATTATATATTTAAAAAAAAAATACAGGAACAAAGCTACTTGGCTCGCCTATGTTGATGGTGCAGTGTTTTGAAAAACGGATTTTGTGGGGTTTGGCTTGGCTACTGAGGATGCTGAAGGTCATTTTTTGTTAGCTATTTCAGGTTTTGAGGCAGCGTGGTGATCATCTGTTGATGGCAAAATCAAGAAGCTCTTGCTTTGAGGCAGCGTGTGCATTATGTCTTTGTTTCTTTACTTGATCCTGGTTGCATTTTTACTGATCGCCGATCTTTATATTTGTCTTTGAACTCAATGAGTAAGAATAATTCTGATTTTGGGTTGATTATGTCTGATTGTAAGGTCTTGTTTCTTGCTAGGCCAGATATTAAAGTTTTTTGGATTAGAAGACAGGAAAATGAGTGTGTCCATCTACTAACACGTAATTCTATTCGCCATAATAGGTTTCAACTATGAGTTGATATTCCGAATGTACTGATTGAGTTCTATTCTCAAAGATAATATACGAGTTCTCTTGTTTAAAAAAAAAAAAAAGTAAAATAGTAATTTTTTTATATATCTATCTTTTTATTTAACAATCATCCACTGTGATGTGGTGGTACAGTTATTAGCTAATCAATAGTTAATAAACTTGCATATCACCGTCCAATTAATGTTTGTGCTTTCAAAACAGATCTGAACATTAATTAATCCACTCAATAAAATTTGAAGTTTACGAATTATGATTGATTTCCCAAACCGCACGTTGTTTTGTTAATTGTTTATGGTTTTTACTTGATTTTAATAATTATAGAATTAGAAAAAGATTTCATTATATTGCGGTGTTTGGTTAGAAAAATATTTATTATTTTTTGTTTGATTATTTTTTTAATTATATTTGATTTAAATTAAATAGTTAATTATTTTTTTAATCATATTTGATTTAGATCAAATAATTTATTTTTTAAATAAAAATTGAGTAGTTTGTGCTTTTGGTACAAATTTAACTATTTAATTTATAAAAAAAGTTAATTTCTGGGTAAATTATATGTTATACTCAAGTTCAGAGGCAAATCGAGCCTTGTTCCTTTTTCTTTTCACCTCAACATTTAAAATAAAATAATAAATATAATGATTATTATAAAAATGGTGATCCGGTATACATAAACATCTCATATTTATAGACATTAAAAATATTAAAATACACAGCTTTTTTAATACTTTGCAGAAAAGTTATTTCCGATATTATATAAATGATAAAAATATTACGAATTACAAAAATTGGACTAGCAGAAATACATTATCTAAGATTGTAATCAATAAATAATTTCAAAAATATTAGAAGTATTTCCAAACTAATATCATGAGTGAAATTTCTAAACTTGAGAGCTGTTGATGCTATAGGGACTTAAACTATGGCATAGTCTTATCTATTAGGAAACCAGAGCATCAATGGCTATGCATATTCCATCAATAGACAAACATAATGGGACTGTTTTAAAACAATGCATGGATGATAATTAAAGGTCCTACTCCTAAATCCTGAACATTAGAGTAAATTTTATTGGAGGACAAGCACCAAATTTTTTGAACCATAATTGATGATTTTTCATTCAAATGGGTCCCATGAAACCCCACACAACAACCTACCCCAAACATTTGAGAATGGTGATCAAGACACCCAACAAAATTTTATGATCACAAAATTTCTTCAAAATCTTGCTTATGAAATCACATAACAGAAAGAACTTAAAAAAATGGAGGTCAAAAAAATTAACCAATAAGCTTTTCTCTAGCTGTAAATCTTCATGACCATACCTTTGGTTTTTGCAAAAAGGTACAGTATCCTTGCTTGCATTTTTCCCAAGTGATAGAACATCCATATGGGATGTAGAAGCTAAAAAATCACTGTTTGTTTCCCAAGAAAATCTAGCAAGGTTACCTCAAAAACTTGTATAAACAAAAATATTTTCTATATTTGATAATCTTTGGAACTATGGAATTGATTTTTGTTCTAACTCTTCGCTTTTTGATGGCCTATCTGAGCTATTCAAGCTAGAGGACTCTGTGGAATAGCAAGAATAAGCTTCAACTTTGGTTGTTACATTTGAAACAAAACTGTTTGTGCTACAATACCCTTTGGAGCTTTCAGTCTCTAGCAGAGTAGCATTCATAAATGGAGGTTGATTTGGCAGAGGAATCTCACAATCAGTATTAGTTAGCATTTCCACTACTTGTTCCATTGATGGTCTTAAAGAAACTGAAGCTTGTGTGCATAGAAGCCCAATTTGAAGCACTCGGGATGCCTCTTGTACTGGAAATTCCTCTCTCAGGCAACTGTCAACAGCCTCTACCAATCTGTTTGATCTGTAAAGTTGCCATACCTGAGGCCAAAAGGTTAAAAAAAATCCATCAAATTATCAAAATGTTTACTAATTTGATGAGTAGAAAATTGCAGAAAGATTTGAGATCATTACTGTTTGCAGAAGGGATTTTGAGTCCTCTATGAAAGCATTACACCTTTTACCCATTACAATCTCAAGAACTAGTACCCCAAAGCTGTAAACATCTGCTTTTTCGGTTAGCTGCCCTCGAACCAGATACTCAGGAGCCATATACCCGCTGCATCAAATATGGATAAACAGTTTAATTGAAAAACAAAACCAAAAAGGTCCCATCATTGATATTGAGCATTATTAGTAATTGATTCATCGTTCATCGGATGCATACAATTAGTACAGCTATGTTCTAACTTCAAACCATTGTTTTAGTGATAAATTATCTTGGAAGGAAAGATCAGGACTTTACATTGTTCCTGCAATTCCAGTGCTAAGATGAGTCTTATCAGTACCAAAACACCGAACAAGTCCGAAATCTGCAATCTTTGGATTGAAATTTTCATCAAGAAGAACATTGCTGCTTTTAATGTCCCTATGGATAATTCTCACTTGAGAACCCCCGTGAAGATATGCAAGCCCTTCTGCTGTTCCAACAATTATATTGAAACGTTCCTTCCAATTTAGAGTCCTGGTTTTAGTATTTCCTGTATAGACAAGTCAAATAATCAAGAATTTTGATATAACTTTGGTGACATAGCTATCAAAAGGGCTCAACAAATTATAATAGCATTTGAAACACTGTACAGAGGAGAAAATTACCAAAGATGAACTGATCAAGGCTCTTGTTAGGGATATATTCATAAACCAGAAGGCTTTCAGGACCTTCAATGCTACAACCTAATAGCTTCACAAGGTTCTTGTGTTGAATTCCACTGATTAAGTTGACTTCATTGAAAAACTCATCTACCCATTGTCTCGTATTAAAGATCAATCTTTTAACAGCAATAGTTTGCCCATTTGCAAGGTTTCCGACAAATACAGAACCAGCTCCTCCTTGGCCTATTTTCCTTGATGAATTGAAGTAGTCGGTTGCCTTTTCTAGGGTCTCATACTTGAAATTCAAGCTTGATTTATGGAAACTGATTGAAACCTTTTCGAGATTAATACGTTCTGGGAAAAGCAAAAGCAAGGAGAAAAATCAGATAACTAGTCAACAATGCTTCTATAATCCAATTGTTATGTGATGCACTGGATGCTGCAGTGTAATATTCGTATTTACTGTAAATAATTAAGTAGATACCTTATTTCAAAAAAAAAAAAAAAAACGTAACTAAATACCTTCTTTTTCCTTCAATAATCTTCTATAGCGTGCATAAATTGCAAAGAGAGACAGCATAAAGAGTGCAGCTGCTGCTAAAACAATAGCAATAGCAATTCCTAAACCAGAAAATCCTGAATATCACAAAAACAACAATTAGATGATTGATATGGTCTAAGGAAATGAATCAACTATACTAAACAATGAAAATAATAACATCCCTAGAAATTAGGATAAGAAACCAAAAGAGCTGATTGGTCCAGGAAAAATCTTCCACATCAAGACCCAACAGTGAATCCTTCACCCAATTCAGCCTAATAAACTTCCTTCAGAGATTATCCACACTATTAATTTAAAATAGAACCGAAGCAATTAAAAAAGTATCATTTACCTACAATTTCAAAGATCACACAGATTAAGCCAAAAGCAAAAATCAAAAGAACCCATCTCAAAAAATCCTCAAAAAAAACCTAAAAATTTCAAATTAAGAACTTCAACCTACCATGAGCATCCCCTAATTCTCCTCCATCACCATAGAACTTATCAGTAGAGTACCTCAAATAACATCCAGCATTCATTGCTCTCCCTTCCTTCCTTGGAACGCACCGTTGCACCTCTTTCTCTGCCTTCTCCAAACACTTTCTACAACCATCCTCTCCAATACTATCCCAACACTGAACCAAAGCATATACCCCATCAGTACCCGCAACACCAAACCCACCATTCTTAATAGCTTTACTACTCACATTACCTAAAGCATACCCAACACTTGTAGCAAACTTCACTTTCTCATTTTCATCATCCAAACGCGAAACGTTTTCTTGGCTACAGTTTACAGCATCAAAAGCAAAAGAAACCGATTCTTTAAAAAAATTATATTTATCGTAGCGTAAAAAGCACCCATCAAGATATATACGAGCAGAGGCAGAAGGGAGGCAACGGGGGAGCTTTGTGCGAGAAGCGGCAAAACAGAGGAGACAGTCGTTTTGAGAAAGGTCATGGTGACATTGGGCTAAAGCATACATAGGAACTGTAGAGTTAAGGTGATAGGTGGCAAAATGGGTATTATTTATCAGTTGTGAAAGAGTTTCCATTTCTTTAACAAAAGCTGGAATAAAACCAGAAGGTGTTTTCATGGTCTGCGTTGAGTTGCCGCAAACAAGGCCAGATTGGGTTATTCGAGGATCGGAAGAAGAGACAGAGATGAAGAAGGAGAAGATAATGGAAGAGAAGAGACATATTTGATACGGGTAGTTTCCTGAAGGTGAAGAGTGCATGGAAATTATGTGATGGCTATTTTTCTTCTCTGTTTGTTTATGGACGGTGGGGTGAAGAAGAAGAAGAAGAAGAAGAAGAAGAAGAGAAGCAAAGGTTTGAATTTGGTTTTTGTCTTGTTTCTGTTTGTGCTCATTGGCTTTCAAACTAGTATTATTTCATTTCACCGTATTTTATCTTGCTCTATTTTTTTTTTTTTTTTTTTTTTTTTTTTTTTTTTTTTTTTTAGATGGAAGAGAAGAGGACATATTTGATAGCGGGTAGTTTCGCTGCAAGGTGGAAGAGTGGCAATGGAAATTATGTGATGGTTATTTTTTCTTGCTCTGTTTTTTGTGTTATCGGACGGTGGGGGTGAAGAAGAAGAAAGAAGAAGAAGAAGAGAAGAGACGCAAAGGTGTGTGAATTTTGGGTTTTTGTCGTTGTTTCTGTTTGTGCTCATTTGGCTTGTTCAAACTAGTATTATTTCATTTTCACCGTATTTTAATCTTGCTGCTTATTTGTTTTTTTTTTTTTTTTTTTTTTTTTTTTTTGCTTTTTGCTGTTGTTTCCCTTTCCAGCTTTTTTTTGGAGACTGGATTGTCCGTAATTTACGGAGGAAAATTTCTGATTTTTTTTTTTTTTTTTTTTTTTTTTTTTTTTTTGCTTTTTGCTGTTGTTTCTTTCCAGCTTTTTTGGAGACTGGATTGTCCTAATTTACGGAGAAATTTCTGATTTTTATTTTATTTTTAGTGTATTTTCCGTAGCCATAATTTTATTTATCAATATTTTTTATTTTCTTATTTATGCATTCATGATTGGCTAACTTGAAGAACTTTGTGCGTGGTATTTTTTTATATTAAAAATATATACATTAATTTTACCTACTATTCGTGATAGGACGAGCAGTCAGGATATTTTTTTTGTTTTAAGTAAGGTCGAATATTTTATTCTCATAAAATAAGTAAATATTTATTTTGAATTTTTTTTTTATAATTGTTATGTTTTCTATCTTAATATTGTAAATTTAAAGTATTTATTATATTAAAATGAATAGTTCGATATTTTTTTCATGAGGTCAAAAATTTTTTATTATTGATAGAATAAATACTCATCGGAGTATTTTACTCTTAATAAATCGATTCGATATGATGATAATTTAATTTAGTGGGCTGGAATATACGTCACTAAAAAAATAAAAGAAAATTAAATGATTGATATTATTCAGCTACTAGTCTAAAAAAATTTAATCAACACTAATTAATTTACTATAAGATGGACGCTGCATGATTAGTCAACTTAATTAGTTTCAATCTTGAAAAAATTATTTCATTCTTCTAAAAGCTGTGATCGGAAAGTGTGCAAGTGCAGGTATTCACATACCCACCTGGCACACATTCATTTGCCCCTATGAACTTTTTTTTATTTATTTTTATGACACCTTAGAATGTGTCTGCATGGTCTGGTAGGCCATTTTTCTTGACAATCCTCACCAGTCGGTGATTCAGTGGCACGTCAATGTCATTTTTTTTTGTTGGATTCTAGAAGTTTAATTCGTAAAATTTGTGTGTTAATTTGGTTGCGGGAAAATCGAGACACCTTGGATCCATTATTTACCGTTGAATCTGCTCATCAATTCGGTGCGATTCGGTTCGAATCAAAACTGAATCCAACTTAATTGTAAGCAGTTTAACAGAAATTTAAATTAGTACGAAAAAATTTTCATTCTAAACTATATTACAATTGGGGGGTCGAGTTGAATTTCAATTTTTAGTTTTATAATTTAAAAAAATTATCTGTCAAACTTTTGACAAAATTAACGTCGAAATTGAAATAGAGAAGTCTAAAAGTTAATTTTCAATTAAATATTTTTATTGAAATTTTGCATAGAGGAATCATGTTAATCTAGTACTAATAGCGTCATATATGTAAAATTTAGCATTACAAGTCAAATTTTATGCATGTCAATTTAAAAAAATATATTAAAATTAATTAGAAATTGAGATTCACGTAAAAGAAAATGAAATTCTTATAATTAATTTGGTTGATAGTTGAATTTTGAAATTTTTAATAAGTATCATGATGATAATTTCTTTAATTAAAGAATTTCACAAAGGGATAGTTTTTTTTTTTTTTTTTCTTTTGCCATGATATATGTTATGTACAAAAAATACATCACAAATATGTTATAATAATATACACCAAGACATAATCTAATTATAAATATATATATATAATTTAGTAATAGACCGACTAAGATATAATCTAATTATAAATATATATACAACTTAGTAATGGCCGAGCCTGCGTGATACTCATTTCTTGTTATTTTTCCTTTTTAACTCTTTTCTTGTTCTGTACACGTGATATGGTGTTTCTTTGTCTCTGAGCTAAAAAATCAAATCCACCTTTTTTTTTTTCTGTAGCTAATATCCAACCACACCTTTTCATATAGAAGTAAAGTCCACATCATTGAAGTATAAGAATACAATAGTCTCTACATCAATCAATTATCAATTACATAAACAAACTTTGAATTGATCTAATTGTGATTAAATAAATATTTTATTATCCAAAAATCTAAAATCAACTCCTAATTATGTTGACACAAGTCTTCATGGTAGCTAAACACCTTAATTTTCCCCCTTTTCCTATACAGAAATAGCTACTCAATTTAATGATTAATGCCACCCACTCATTGACTTTGAGGCCTCCAAAAGTCAACAACAAACAATTCTTTTCACAAATTGCATAAATTAGGTCACTGCCATTATTTTTCTATGTGTGGTCCATGCAAATTGTTTTGCACACCTAAAGGCTTGTTTGGAAGTATTGAAAGTCTTATGCTCTGTTCACATTCAAAGAATAAAAATGCTATTATGCCACCCACTCATTGACTTTGAGGCCTCCAAAAGTCAACAACAAACAATTCTTTTCACAAATTGCATAAATTAGGTCACTGCCATTATTTTTCTATGTGTGGTCCATGCAAATTGTTTTGCACACCTAAAGGCTTGTTTGGAAGTATTGAAAGTCTTATGCTCTGTTCACATTCAAAGAATAAAAATGCTATTAGCAATCCATTTCTGTAAAGTTTTCATAAACATGTACACATTACCAACCCCTTTTTTTCATTTTGTAAACATAGCTAATTGCTATTTTCAAATGGGGCAGAATTGTCAAATTTTGAATTCTGATCTTCCGACTATAATACAAACATTAATTGTTAACCTTTAGATCATAAGACAAACATTCGAATATATCATAAGACAAACATTCGAATGCTACCGAATTATTAATAGGGTGAGAAAGATAAGCTTAATTAACAGTGAGTAGGGAAGAAAATTTTGTTGCTTTAAGCTAATAATTAAGGGATATAAGTAATTACTAATTAACTAATCAGAAAAAGAATGTCTATGATAATATTCTTCACCTAAACTATGTAATTCCATATGTTCATCAATGAAAGGAGGGTTTGATGGCTTAGGCAATTCAATATCCACATTTCTAAGCATTTGAACTACCTTTGTCATTGTTGGTCGTAAATTGGGTGATTCTTGAGTGCATAATAGACCAATTTGAACAACTCTTTCTACTTCTTTAACATCTTCTATCTCCATACTTTTATCTATGATTTCTGGTGTTGTATTTAATTGAAAGTGCTTCCATGCCTGCATTATCACCAAAATCCATTCAGAAAAATATTTCAATTAATAAATCAAATTCAATCAATAAATGCATATCGCGTTTAAACCATCCGGTATCTCAAACCCATTGACCCGACTAATTCAAATTCATGTTGGTTACCTCACGAAGAGGGGGCAAAACGCTGCATACTCAGTGCTCGAACTAAAAAATTTTAGTTAAGGAAAAAATGATTCATGTCACTCCATCTCACCCTTTTGAGTATTATATATATAGAGAGAGAGAGCATATGCACATACAAATATATAAATAAAAATAAGGTTGAAGGAATTTACATGAGCAATTAGGGTTTCGTATGTATCATCAGAATGATATTTGGTGTTTTCTATTCCAGTTACTATTTCGATTACAAGAACTCCGAAGCTATAAACATCAACTTTCTCAGTTAATTGTCCCTTGGCGATGTATTCTGGAGCCATATACCCTCTTAAATCCAAGAAACACAAAGGAAGAAGTCAATCACAGATTGCAAATATTAATAATTTAAGCTATATAAATACATTTGTTATTGTCATAATGTGTAATATAATCAAATATAGAGTTATTTACTATTTATATACCAGACAAGACGAATTAAATAATTTAGTTCAGATTCTTAAAGAAAAAAAAGAAGAATAAGAAAAGAAACTACTTTGATTTACAATTTTTATGTAAAATATAGTTCATAGTTTAGTCTCAATTTTATTTTTAAAAATAACCGAATTTGTAAACTATTTTTATTTTATATATTAAGAAAATGTAACACTATACTTTTAAATTTTATTATTTTAATTAATTGGTTATATAATATAAAATTTTATTAATAATATGCAAAATAAGTTTTTTATTTGGATAGATACTATAAATAGTCCGAATGAATATAATTAATGTTCTTGACCTGAATTAGAACTTAGAACCAAAGGTTTTTCATTTATTTTGAACTATGGAAATAAGAAGCTCTTATTTTAAAACTAAAAAAAGAAAGAAAAAAAGAAATCTAAAAAAAAAATTGATAAGTAAAATTGTACTATACTATTAGAAAAAGTTATCTGTCCAATAGTTTAATTCAGTCTAAAAACTTTATAAACTGCAATTTACAGTTAAATTTCAAAATTCTTGCAATCTACCCTAAATCAAACCGTGTACACATCTCATAAGATAGATTTTTATTCAATATTAAATTGAAAATAAATTTCATTTTATAATATTCCATTTCATTACCACACGGACAAAACATAACCTTTATATATATATCAATTGAAATGATAGCAAGATTATTGAAAGGATTAAAGTCTAAGTACTTACAGTGTTCCAGCTATGGTTGTTTTGAATAAGGAACGGTCACAAGAATAAAATCTTGCTAATCCAAAATCTGAAATTTTTGGTTTAAATTTCAAGTCCAACAAGACATTGCTAGCTTTAATGTCACGATGAATAATTCGAATTTGACACTGTGAGTGTAGATACTCCAAACCTTCAGCTGCTCCTGTCATGATTAGGAGCCTTTTTCCCCAACTGAGTTCTTTCTTCTTTGCTGGATCTTTCTTCCATGGGTTGCCAAAATTAATTTTTAGATTGTAGAAAAGACAACTAATATATGCCAAATTAATTTTAGATTGTTAGAAAGACAACTAAAATATATATATATATATATATATATTATATAGAACTTTCAGTATATATATAAACTTTCAGTAAATATGCAACTAATATGGATATATATGTGTAGCTTACCAAATAACATGAGATCAAGGCTTTTATTGGCTAGGTATTCATAGACAAGAAAGCTCTCCATATTAGTGAAGCAGCAACCAAGGAAGCGAACCAAGTTCTTGTGTTGTGCTCTGCTAATGATGTCCATTTCATTGCAAATCTCATCAATTCTGCTCTTTCTACTTGCATATAAACGTTTTATTGCAATTTCTCTTCCATCTGGTAGGGTGCCCTATTCATTTCATTAGAAGCATATTTATAAATTTGTAACTATTGAATATATTAACAGAATTAAAGCAAAAGAATGTATTCAAAGATCATTCTACATGTACCTTGTATACTTCACCGTATCCTCCTTCTCCAAGCTTATGAATTTCTTCAAAATTTTCTGTTGCTTTCTGTATCGTTGCATACTTGAACTGCAAGAACTGCAGCCTCTCATCTAATAGAACATCCCCCATCGCTTCAAATAGTAAAACATACAAAATTGCACCATTAATATGAGATAATAATGATTGAAGCGATAAAAATGAGATGATAATCAAGTACACCTATTTGTAAATTGGGCTGTAGCCTTCAATTTATGAAGAAAATTACTGATTGGAAGAACCAAACTTTTGGAAGATTTAGTAATTTTCAAGCCCAAAACAGACTCATAAACATGGATGCTAATAAAAAAGTGTCAAGAAATTACTTGATTAATGTTTTGGTTAGCCAATCTAAAGTTTAAAATTTGTTGAAAATGAAATATATATTGACAAGAAAGAGTTACTCAATTATATATTTCAGTTAATATTCAAATGTAATTATGCAAGCATTGAATAGTACCTTTCAAAACTTTTACACCATTCTTTCTTTGGTAAGTACGTTTGCCAACCCAGATCCCAATACCAATCGCAATTAGGCAGACTATAACCACACCCATCATATATGAGAAGAATGAAATTATTTCTTCTGCAAGAGAACAGCACATAAAATTTAATCTTCAGTTAAACATAAACTAATAAATTAAACGAGCATTGGCTGCTCTTTCACTTGCAAGAACATCAATTCGCTATGCTTGTCTCCGAGTGTGGGATACGATCCCCAATTGTATTGCTGAGTTTTACATATGTTTTAATGAAGTTTGGATTTCTACCTTTCAAAAAAACAAAATTAAATGAGCTGTTCCACTAGATAGCAAACAAAATATGTCAATCCCGTATGGGTAATAACCTTGTGTGCACTCATTTACATTATGTTTCTTTTAACTTTAATTCACATCATAAAAAGTAATCAAAGTTGTATTTGGCTGCTCAATTCAAAAGTAAAATTCCCAGCCATTTATCCACTAATTCTTAGACACATAGCACCAAAAAAGTACATAAAATTAATATAGGAGGTATAAGTATAATAATTAGTGATATACAATCGAAGTAACTAACCTCTGGTTTCACCAGTAGCTACATTAGCAAATGAAAAATCTGCATAACGGAGAAAGCAGCCAGTGTTAAGGACGCGAGCCTCTGTAGCAGGAAGACAAGACAAGGCGTAAGCGACTGCTTGCGAGAGGCAAAGGCGACACAAATCTGGGTCCAAAATCTTCCAGCAACTAGCCATGCCATATGCTGTCACGCCATGTGCGGTGGCATGCTTTATCGCAAAGCCTCGCCAAACAGGACCTGTGATTGGCGCCTTCTTAAGCATTTCGTCGAGCACTTCCTCTACAGCTTCTCTGAATGCCGGTCCGCTGTTTACATCGGTGCCGCATCTCTACTTCCATTCGGTTCCCAAAAAGGAAACAAATTAATATCGATCAATTTCATTCCTTTTAATCATTCAATAAAAATTTGCATTAAACCTATAGCTGAATTTTCTCTCTCTCTGTATAATCCCTTATAGAAAAGAAAAATCCTAATTTTTCGTTAAGCCAGCATTGTTTCTGATATTCAAGAAAATCTCATTTCCTTTTCACCAATTATTAATTAATGTCATGAACAAAAAATGAACATTGCTAAAAGGGAATTGTACTAAATAACAATAAGGAGGAGGAGGAGGAGGAAATATTACTGCAGTGTCTTGAGAGCCAAGAGCTTCACGATAGAAACTATAATTCTCAGCCCTGATGAAGCAACCATCAAGAAAAACACGGCCACCGGTATTGGGAAAACAACCAGGGATAAGGTTATTTATCTGATCAAAGCAAACAGCACAATCGTCACAAGAAAGATCATCCATGCACTGAGAGAGTACGTAAAGCCTATCAGGTGGCTTCCCTACATCTTTGAAAGCAAACTTGTTTCTATACATTTCATCTTGCATGTAACCTGTAATTCTTGAATAGTATTTGAAGTAATTTGATATATTTTGGACATGAACTTTTCCACATATACGAGCAACAATTTCGGTTCTCGGGTCTGCAATTGATATTTGAATTTGATTATTGTTCACATAGATTGAAAAGAGAATGATAAGAAGATAGGGAATTTTTTTTGCCATTTGAAAAAAAAAAATAATAAGAAATTGTGGTTTTGATGTGTTTTATTTTTATTTTTTGTTTATTTTTTGTTGGCTTTTCTTTTCTTTTTTTCCCAATTATCTATTATTGTGTTATTGTTTTGGTTATATTTAGTTTAGATATGGTCTTTATTTCTTTATTATTATTATTATTATTATTATTATTATTATTATTTTGCCTGAGGTGTTAAATCTAGTTGGAGACAAGTACGTGGCAAAACAACATATATGCAATGCAAGTAAAACTGAAAATGAATAGCAGACAATCTTACAGTAAAAGATGTCTATAATTTTCCTGCTTAAATTATCTCTCATTTCAGAAGACTACAGTCAGTCGTAGGCTACATATTGCCATTTGACAAAAAAAAATTGGCTGTCCCCCTGGCTCTTCATCTGTACAAAATATAGAAAAGATTGTTTCCACATATGAACATTATTTTCCCTGTAGTGCAATGACAGTTACATAATAATATAATCCCAAAAGGGAAGACATGGAAAAAATGCCTAGCTAACCAAAATTTTTTAGGTCAGAAGTGCAATGAAATCATAAACATCAGTTTCATAACTAGAACTAGGTCAGAGTGCTCCAAGTGTAGAACCAGAATCCGTACTCAAGAAGGCATGCTCAAGTCAAACCCATTGCAGTGATTAGGTTAGTTAACATAAACCACACTAGTTCAGGCCATGTTTCGCATAAGTATTAGCAATATTTTGGTATGAAATACCAAACAGGAGTGTTTCAACTTCAGTTTCTGTCGGTTATCATTTTTGTGGCCGTTCCCATTAAGCATTTGTCGATTAATATAAGCTACTCATCATCCACTAAACACATTACTGGAATCCCCTTGCTGGAAAAGCTCGTGCACTTGACTTGGAGTTCATCACCCACCTCAAAATTCGTCTTGCTATTTGTCTGCATGATAATGAAAACATGGTGATTTATATGAATCCTCTGATAAAAAGGTTGGGAGTAGCGACCAAAAAGTTGAAGCATTTTTTCATAAAAGCTTTATATGTAAAAAAGCATTTTCTCATAAAGATCTATATGTATGCAGGGGTAGGATGAAAAAATCTATAGAGTTTACTTAGGCATCAAGTACAGCAATAAAATGAATATGCAGCACAGGCATTTGTACATCTTCTTAAAAAAAAGGGGGAGTCTCCTATGTAGTGAGTGGGAAAAATGAGGGTATATTATTATAATAAAATCAGACCATTCTAAGCTTAAAATTAGTAGAAATGCATACCTCAAACCGATACATTCCACGAACTCCACCACCCAACTCAAGGACCAAGCCATGTTTTCGAATTTGGAAAACCTTGGCCGTGACCTTTGTCCCGAGTTTCAAATTGTTTGCACTCATAGGAGCCTCCACTTTGGCTTCCTTAGGTGGGTTTGTCTTTGGCTTCTGATCCCTTTTCGAAGCCTGGGATTTTTTGAATGTAACCTTGGAAACCTGACTCAGACCAGCGGATTTTTCCTCCTCATCACATTCTGCAACACTTCGAATTAAAATTACTGGTGATGATGAAGTTGAAGAATTTACAACACTTTTATTCACCAACAAGTCAGCCACAGGTTTCTGTTCATTTTGCCCATCATTAGGCAAACCCTCAACTGAGGCCCAGACCTTAGGTGTTTCTTTCATGACGGGAACAGATTCTTCAGCTAAATTATTTGCCATGGATCTCGGCTTTGGTAAAGCTGCTTTAAGGGATACTTTAATGTTGCCGCGGACATCCTGACCAATGCAGGTCAAAGAAAGCTGCTGACCAACAGATACTACATCTGAAACCTTAGACACCTGGTGTAAGGGAGTATATAAAGATTCAATTTGCCAAACAAGTTAATTAAAATACAGTTGAAATAGACATATGTTATTAGATGTGGATATCCATAAGCAAACTAGTAAAAGTGGCTAGATTTCAGAAAATCCATTTCTCGATCTCAGCAACCTTTTCAAGTAGTGAATATAACCAAATCATGAAAGGAAACAACATTAGGCAATAACAAATCCCATATCAAATTTCTATAGCCATCGTCCAACTGGAAAGTCCATACTGTTTAGCAAACAGGTCCGATTAGGTTGATAGCATCCAATACACCAGACATCAATACCTGTCTTGAAAAGCCAAGCAAATTTATTCTCTCACCTGCCACTCACTGAACTTTTACTTTAGCAATCAAATAACCACTAAACAAATTCCAAATAAAGCAGAGACAGAGAGTGGAGAGAAGATGGATTTGGATAAAGATTCACATATTGACATTCAACAAGAAAATAAGGAAAAGAAATAAACAGACATCCAAGGTAACACATCACCATGTCATTACATACCGGTTCATGTGACAACTCAGAAATGTGTAGCAAAGCTTGCTGGCCGCCATTGAACTCAACAAATGCACCATATTCTTTTATTGAAGTTACAATGCCCTCATAAACCCCACCGATTTCAATTTCCCGGCCAATTATTAAATCAATCTGAGAAATAGGAAAAGGAAACATCTCTATTGGTAGCAAACAAAATAGATAATATAGATAGTTTTGAAGCAAGTAAAACATAAAAATAGAGGACTATTCTGCACTGATTTTGACAGGGTAGGATTTCAGACTGTTGCTGCTACTGCCAGAAAACAATTTGCTATAAGAAAAAGTATATATGCATTTATGATAAGCAACGGTCTCTATCACCACTTGCCACTGAAACTATTGCCTTGGACTGTAAGGAAGTAGCACTGTTTGTTTCAAAACAGTTGCCACAGGATTTTGAAAAAAAAAAAAAAAAGAAAAGCAGGTTTGAAATTTTGATAAATCACTTTTTTAACATCATATTGGATAAAGAAAGGCTTAATTAAGAAGATGAAGAACACAATTATCCACACAACAGCTACTGACATAATGACGAATATTGCTCAAAACTAACAGTTCTAACATATATGAAGCTGGAGTATACATCTCATGTGCTCCAGAAGAAAATGCAAAATCCAATTAATTAATGATTTACAGTCCTTCCAATTAAAGATGCTTCAATTCCCCCAACCTCCTAACACAACTTGAACAAATACCTTCTTTTTAGACAGAAATGCTTCAGTACATTCTAAAGTACACCCATATAGAATAGGATTGAAGTGGTCTTCTGGGAATTGACCAAATCTAATTATATTTCTACAAAAAAATATGTTACACAGTTAGCACAGTTGAATTATATTTCTACCTCATCGAAAAGGTCGCACTGAGAATTCACTATTGAAGCCACATGTTAGCATAGTTGAATTTTCAGGGTCGAGTTTTCACTAAATTTATGACTTTCTGCAACACAAACTTCTAAAGCACTTGGTTTGTAATAAAATCAATTGAATTAACACGAAAAATCTTCAGAAACTTTTTTTTAAATTTCTTCTAATGCTTAAGGCTTGGTGAAAGTGGTTGATAAGTTTTGAAGTACAATATTGACTTAAAAACAAACCCATTTGACACAAAATGCTACTAAACAGAATCCAATTCAATCGAATTAAAAGGGATCACAACAGAAAACAGAGAGAGAGAGAGAGAGAGAGAGAGCTCAACTGAGCATGGCAAATACCTTCTCCTGTGCTTTTTTCATTACGGATTGATTCTTAGCAACTATAGTAAGTGTGCCATCACTTACAGACAATCGCGCACCTGCATCGGGCAACAATACAACCAGAATTATCCATATCATATTAATGCACTTGTAAAATCAACAGAAATTTTCTAAATTTACTGCAGATTTTACTTAGATCTTCATGCATGTAAAAAGAAAAAAAAGAGTATGCCCATGGTTTTCCCATCCAAAATAGTGCATAATCCAGATAAAAGGGTGCCTCTGGTAATGCATTCCAGATGAAAGAATTAACCAGAAAATGCTCATGAATAGCGTAATTGATAAGTTCCCTGCACAGTAGAATACTTACAAAGTGAAAATTTAAGATAGTTGTAATTCCATCAAAATGATAACATGGGAAACTTAAAAATGTTCTTGCTAGATACCTCCAGTGGACATAACATCATGTTTTAAAAATAAAATCAACATATTAAAATGTATTTTACCAATGGACAAATAAAAGATTAGAAGGCAGCAACACCAAGATTAGTGAGACGAAAAAAGCAATCCTTAAAGATACTAATTGTATATATACTCTTCACTCTTCTATATAATCCTGAATCTGAAACCCCAAATTAGTATATTCAATTCAAGTTGTCAATAAGGAAGATAAAGTGTAATACTAAGCCTGTAGACTGCCATTTTAAGAATGCATTTTAGATGAACAAGAAAATTAGACAACAATATTATGTCAGTAATCATAGTTCCGGAAAAGAGAAACCAATTAGTTAAATGGTAAGACATGTGTTAATCTAGTGCAAATGAAACTAATCAATGGAGAGGGAAACTGTGTAATTTATGACAGATGACCCATACCTGTTTCCACTTCAAGTTTTCTCTTCTGAACATGATGAGGGCCAACTAGCCGACGAAGATCATCATTGCTGAACTTAAGGGTAGCTGCATCATGAATGAAAGATATTGAGTTGGAGAACAACAGGATTCTAGCCAGCACAATTATTTATATACAGAAAAAATGCAGGTAGCAGATGCTGAAAAACCAACCTAGTCGAGGGCGATTATTGTCATCATGAGTACGTGGTGCACTAATCTCTCGTTCCATGCGATCAAGGATTTGAAGACGGCCTTTAAGTGCGGGCTCTAAACACTCACAAATTATATCTAAAGGAATTCCTGCAGGTTTTATATCCAACTGAATTGCAGTAACACCATTACGTGTTCCAGCAATTTTGAAGTCCATGTCTCCCAAATGATCTTCCAGCCCCTGAACAAATCAAACATACAAAAAACTCTTAAAGGCGACTCAGAAAAGTTTGGGGAGAATTTCCAAAACTTAAAAATGGATATCATAAGACATGAACAGAAGCCCTTAAAAATGAAAGTCATTTCACAGAAGAATTGACAATATTTTTAACACTGAGAAAATATTATCAATGAGGAAGAATAATGAGCAAATGTTTGTAACATCTTTTAAGGATCTCTAGCACAAAGAAGTACACATCCTGAAGCTACAATGTTAATAATGACTCGAGAAAATCCAAGCAAGCATCTTACCAAAATATCAGTCAGTATACGGTAGTCCTTAATTTCTCCAGTGGAGGAATCAACTTCACTAATAAGACCCACAGAAACACCAGCAACATGCTCTTGTAACGGAATGCCAGCATCCATCAAGGCCATACTACCTGTTACGAAAAAAGAAAAAGGCACTATATGTTAATGCTAGCTATTCTAAAGTTAACAAAAAGCGTAACGGCACAGCCATGTATATATTACAAGACATTCAAGTTTCTCAGGAATCGGATTCTTTCAGTACTAAATAAATTCGTATTAACTCCAATTTTTCAAGCAGATACAAGCTATTGAAAATAACAACAGGGAAAAGACAAAAGCCATTATAGCAACAGGTAAAAAGGGATACCTCCACAAACAGTTGCCATTGATGTTGAACCATCAGATGCCATGACTTCTGAATTGACACGAACTGTATATGGAAAGTCATCTTCAGGAGGCAAAACAGCAAGCAGAGCCTTCTCCGCAAGTGTTCCTAGGAATAGTGAAGTTACAAAACATCATATACTGCCTTGGAAGAACCCTTAACATGTCTAGGAAATTCAATCAGCTTCTATTGCATAGACAGTTATCTGGATTCCAAGTCGATGCTTAAAAGAAAAGATAACAAATGGCTTAAGGTAGAAACATTGTGCACACATTGTGCAAAGTGATATCCTGAAGCTAGTATTTACTAGCATACTCTGTGAATTTGACCAGTAAAGCAAACAGAAATACAATAATGGAAAATACCTATCCTAGGGCCCCTGAAATATCATGTTTTGGTTACTGAGCCCTTAAACTTCAATTTCTCTGCATCAGGGCCTTGAAATTTTGTTTTAATTGTTTATTACTCTTTTCACATTGAGAACTTTTTTATGGCAAATGTAAAATTGATTAGCACTGGATAATATATTACTAAACAATGCACCCTTCATAGATTAAACTTGAAAATATTAGAGACACAAAAACGAGATAGTTCTTTTATATATCTTGAGCAGTTTTCATGAAAAAAAAAATTATGTTCTGAAACTGTCTTTAATAAATTTCTCATGAATCTTATTTTCCCATAAGAAATCTCAATGAAAAGTAAAAGGTGACCCAATACATGAAGTATGAAACGTTTGTGGACTTTGGAAAGCTTCCCCCAACTTTGGCAGAAATGCTATTCCGTGGCTCAAACCATGACCTCAAGATCATTAGTAGAGTAACTTTAATGTTACACCAATGCCACCCTCATAAATCCTCCATATGAAAGGGAAAAAAAAAGGAAGTTTGAGAGCTCAATGTGGATTGATAAAAGTTCAGGACTCAATAGACAAAATGCAATAAGTCCAGGTGCACTAGGATTGTCTTTCTGATCAATGATAAAAACCACAAGAGAATAGTTCTAACTAAATATTGCCAACAAATGGCACTTAAGAAAAAAGTAAGCATTGATTGGTGATAGTAGTAAATGATTGAAAAGTTAAGCAGTCAGTACGCAATTATTAAACTAGAAGAAGATGACTGAATATAAGAGACTTCATTTAATTAATATTTCATTAATGATCTAACAATGCGAAAGTGCAAATTGTTCACCATGCCCGACTTCACGCCTGTTCAAGCCAACTCGTTTACCAACTTCATTTATTGAAAACGGCGGAAAACTATAGTGAAGCATGAAACGCTTTGTTGGAGGTCCAACTAAAGATTCCAACCGCTGAGCATCTTCAGGTGCTCCAAGTGTCACAGTACAGAGAACCTGCATTTAATATTAAATATAGTCCTTCATTCAAAACACAAAAGCAACTTGATGTAGCATGTGGATTCTAACCTTATAAACATTTAAGCATTGTAAATCAGTAAAGTATGTGTTAAAGAATAATGCACACTAACCTGAGTGTCCCCACGAGAAAACAGTGAAGATCCATGTAATATAGGTAAATTACCAGCTTCACAATACAAAGGCCTGACTTCATCAAGACGTCTCCCATCAACTCTAAACCCTTCCAAAATGATTCTATTCCGAACAACCTAGTATTTTAGAGAAGATTTAAGAAATTGCAGACAATTGAGAACATAGATGAGCAAAAATGTTAAAGACAAAATTGGGGGAGAAAAAGAGGTGAGCAATCTAAAGCCCAAGTATCCACAATTAAAAATAAACTGTGTATTATTAGAGCATCTCTTGTAAAATACTGTGTTCTGTTCAAATGCCAAACCCCAAATTACCATATCATAGGAAGCAAAATAAATGGTTTACAACAAAGCCATGGGTCAGTGAAAGTAATATATGCCAGCTCTATAATTTTAAAAATGAAAAATCCAACTCAACTCAGGCTTGATTCCGACCTAGCCAGTTACCAAAATAAACAAGAATATGAAAAAAGTGCACCTCGGTTATGGTTGCTTGTTCAACAGATTCCAACAAAAAAAAAAAAAAAAAAAAGCAAAATAAATGTTTTACAACAAAGCAATGGGTCAGTGAAAGTTAAATATATGCCAGCTATAATTTTAAAAAATGAAAAATCCAACTCAACTCAGGGCTTGATTCCGACCTAGCCCCAGTTTACCAAAATAAACGAAGAAATATGAAAAAAGTTGCCACCTCGGTTAATGGATTGTTGTTCAACAGATTCCAACCAAAAAAAAAAAAAAAAAAGGGCAGAAAACATTGGACCAGTCCATGTCAGCAATTCCACTTTCAATAAACTATATTTGGAAAGAAAAACCACAAACCCACTGGATTCCCAGGTTCATCTGTAGATAGGCTCACCTGTTTCCTGACTGTGTCGATATTGCCCTTTGAAGACTTTTAAGCTTTTTCTTCATTCAACATTCTTCTTCAAGCGTTTTCTTCTGTACCAAGTGTAATGTATCTAAATACCTCTCCATCGTTCAACTGGAAGAAGAGAAAAAAAAAAAAAAAAAAAGGGCAGAAACATGGACCAGTCATGTCAGCAATTCACTTTCATAACTATATTGTGGAAAGAAAAACCACAAACCCACTGGATTCCCAGGTTTCATCTGTAGATAGCTCACCTGTTTCCTTACTGTGTCTATTGCCTTTGGAAGGACTTTTAAGCTTTCTTCATCACATTCTTCTTCAAGCGTTCTTCTTACATCTTGTGTAATGTTATCTAAGGCCTCTCCTCGTTCAAACTGGAAGAGTGAAAACAACCATAATTAAAACCAGAAAAAAAAGAAAGTATAAGGCATAGATAATCATATTTTACGCATTTGCTTCCTTGCATGTAAACAGGAGCAAAGACACATGCTTGTGCACATACTAAGAACACAAGATTCAGAAAAGTAATTCCTTAAATTGAAACATTTCCTGCAGAAAGAAGACATTATGCACCTTGCCATATGACGAATCAGTAAAAACGGCTTCAATTTGCCCTTCCGCTAAGTTTCTAACTTTTTCTAATGTTCTTTCAGACACCATAGACAGTTTATAATCTTTCTTCTTCTTCCCAGCTTTGGCAGCAAGTCTGATTTGAGGTTCAAGATATTTAACCGCCTGAAATATCAGAGCCAAGCACCTTAGCGCCTCCCTATTATAGCACAATGGCAACTGCTGAAATTATAATGACTGACCTCTGGATGTGCCAATCTTAACCCTGCTTCTAGATCTTTCTCTGATATCTCCCGAGCTTGCACATCTATCATTAACGTTTTGTCTTTTGTACATGCATATACTAAGTTTAGATCACTTAAGCTAAGCTGCATCACACAAACAGAGACATGCCAATCTGAGTATCAGACAAATGAAAGACCATACACAATAACCACAAATAAAATCTATGTATTTGTGGCACTAAACTTTTGAAGGTTTTTCTCTAAAATAATTTCAAGAAAGGCAAGACATGCATGTGCAAGGTTTCATACTCCAGTATGTAAAAACAAAGCAAAGAAAGTGTTATCCAAGGTTTAGCAACAACAACAATTCAGCCTTAGCAAAACTTGAATCCTCTGTATCCAACATTTGGTCTGTTCATATTAAAAGCAATCTATCAACGGCATAGCAAAACCTTATAAAACAAAAACCAAAATGCAAAAGAATTATAAAAATAAAATAATAATAATAATAATTCCATCCAATCAGATTATATAACACCAAAAGAAACTCCCTTTAAAAGCATCAGATGCATAAGCCCACATTGCCAAAGAAATTACCATATCCCACACCACAACAAATTAAAGGACATATTCAGATTTTGAAGATGTGTGCATTCTATCCATCACAATACTTGAGCCACAACAAGGAAAAAGTAAAGCAAAACTTGAAACAACTTTGGAAACTTTACTATCACCCACTCTTCCCCAGTTAAACAAACCTAAAAATTCCAAAAGCTTCTGTAGATGTCCAATGCTCCTTTAAAGTCTAAAGTGGCAAATTCCAAATCGGTAAACCACCTCATCACACAGAAACAAGTGAGGATAAGTCTCAACATGTTTATAATGCAAAAGACAGAAGTCAGAATATAAGTCTTTATTAGACCTTCTGTTCTACAAAAAATCATTAAATAAATAAGAAAAATATGCCTCTCAAGCAATAGGCAATTTCATTATCTCAATTCTAAAAATTTCTAAATCTTTTCCTTCCATACCATCCCAAAAGAGATGGGAGGGATCAAAGAAAAAACTTTGCTATTTTTCCCCCGCCGACCCAAAACCATAAAATTCCTATGATTGTAAAGCTAATCCTCTCAGCTATTTGAATATGTTATAGGATGATCCACTTAAAAACCAATGCACAGTAAGTTGTTGCTACCAATAAAGTAGAAACTCAAAATACTCGTAAAAATTCGTCATCCTACTCATATTTCTCCTAGCTGACTACATACCCGTCTTGAAACTCAAGTGTACCACTTGAAAATTCAGATGAAGCTAGATAAAAAGCAATTGATGTTGACTATTACCTCATCCATGGTTGGATTAATGACAAATTGGCCACCGATCCTTCCAATGCGTATCATTCCAATTGGTCCACCCCAAGGAATATCTGATAACATAAGAGCAGCAGATGTAGCATTAGCCGCCATTACATCCGGATCTTGTTTCCCATCTGAAGAAAGAACGCTGGCCATTACCTATGAATTAATAACATTTGTCAAAAGACATAATGTGGAATAGGGTAGCCAAGCAGAGCTAACACTCAAATTATAAAAAAAAGAGCTCCTAGAAAGAAAGACTATACCTGTACTTCATGGTAAAATCCAGCTGGAAAGAGTGGTCGTATAGGTCGGTCAATGATACGACCACATAAGAGTTCCCTTTCTTTTGGAGCACCCTCTCTTCGCATGAATGTATGAGGAATTACACCTTGAGCAAATTGCTTCTCTTGGTAATCAACCTTTTCAAAGGCACAAATTATTAAGACACACTTAGCGGCAAGATGGCAACATCTCCAGAGATGCATCTAATAGCATCATGAGGCAATAGATAGATTTGCAGGTAGTATAGCAACAACATTATGATGAAGAATAACATAGCAGGTGCATTCTGCGGTCCATTAATATTAATTTTTATCATAAGTCTTTAAGAGGGCTCCAACTCCTAGCAACTACCCATCTATTTTTACTTATAGCAAACTTACTTTTTCTCCCTTTTTGTTGGCCATTCAAAATAATAATAAGAAAAAGGCAGTGCCATCTTAAAAAAAAAAAGGCTATTATCCTTAGTCCACTGGCATCTCGTATGATAAAAAGGAAGCTGAAAAAATATTCCTATAGAGAAGTTTCTTGAAGGTACTCATCCATTTAATGGACCCTTCAACATAAAATTTCCGCATTCACCACTATCTACTCATGCAAGATATAAAACAAGTCCAAACTTTTACTTGAATTTGATGTCTAATAATATCATCTAAACATTAAATTATTCACAATAGTTCAAAGACAAAGTAGGCACTGTTAAGCCATATTTTAAGGCAAAAATATGTTCGTCTACTTTCCCTTGTATGAAATTACACGTCTGTTTGATTTGAAAAAGTAACTGAAAAATATAGGAAAATTGAGAATTGGTCATACAGTGAGGGGTAAAAAATCTCGAACAGAATCGCCTTTAGCGGCAGTAACAGTGGATAGCACTTTGGTTTCATCAATGCCCAATACAACGGCGCCATTAGCAAATCGAGCGATTTTTCCAGTCTCAAGGGTAATAAGGCGCGATCCAACCTCAAATTCTTCTTTGAAGGTCTCAAGGACCTTGGTCCCGGCGACGGGTAGGTCTGGATCAGAGGGCGCGAAGCCGAGACGGCCGCTGCAGATGTTGCGGAAGCCGAGAGCACGCCATGTGAGGAAATAAGGGAGAGAACTGCGAAGAGAATTGGCTCTGTAGCCTCTGCTTGCTATCGAGGACATTGACTAATTGAGTGAGAGAAATGGGAGGGAAAGGGTTTAGGGTTTAAGGGAGTTGACAGTAAAATGCAAAGGAAAGGTTTAATTATAATTTGGTACGTGGGGGTGTAGGGTACCAGCAATTCAAACCCATTTAACTATTTTTCAAATGTATATATAAAAAGTTTATATATAATTATAATAAAAATTTTCATTACCAACCGAGTCTTTAATTTCCATCACAAGAAGGTTTGAAGGTTTTCAATACCTTTTAACATTTTCAACTAATAGAGAGAATAGTTTTAAGAGTGCTTTTTTTTTTTTAAGAATATTTTTAATTGTTAATACATGTAAATACAGTAAAAATTTTATTCATCTAATTACAATGATGACTACTTCCACTCCTTCCTAAAATAATATACGGAATAAATTTTTAAAAAAAATTTCTTATTTGTAAAATAGTACTCAGACTATGCAAAATATGCTTTATTTTTTCTTTGAAATAAAAATGAAAAATAAAATTTTTCTTTCTCGCACAGTTATTAATGAAACAAAAAGAAAATTAATTAAATTGTTTGGATTGTAATATTATTTATTATGATTTTAGCAGCATGAATAATAATTAATATAAAAAAGGAAATAGATTTTCCTATTAGTTTGTACCAAACAAGTTGAAGCGATAATTTTTAAACCTTGCATACACATAACTCTTGGTATTTCTTTTTATATTTTTCATTTTTTATAGACTTTGCAGAATTTTTCATATTGTTATTATTATTATGTACCAGAAAATAAAAAAATTAGTAATTTTAGTAATAAATTAAATAGAAAAAATAAAAATATAGTAATTAGGAAGAAATTTTCATGTTAAGTAGAAAAAACATACATCGCATACATATCTAAATTTAGAATTTTTAATTTAAATATTATTCCTTTTAATTATTAATAGTAATAATTAAAGATATATGTTAAATTATTAAATTAGTGAGTATAAATTATATCTATATGTTGTTAATAATAGGAACATAAATTCGTAACTACATTATATCCCTCCCTTGTAAAAATTTTTAAGAATAATTATAAAATAAACTAGAAGAATAATTATTTGCTCTCCCTCCTTCTTCTCCTCTCTCTTTTCTCTCTAGTCTTTTAACTTTAGTTTTGTTTTGGGACTGTCGCTGTTTATCAATGGTAGCCTCTACCTCCTGCCTTCTTTTTTTTTTTTTTTTTTTTTTTTTTCCCTCCTATCTTCTCCTCTCTTTTTCTTCTAGTCTTTTAACACTTTAGTTTGTTTTGGGACTGTCGCTGTTTATCAAATGGTAGCCCTCTAACCGTCGCTGCCTTCTTTTTTTTTTTTTTTTTTTTTTTTTGCTTTTAATATTTTATTCACTCTAATAAATTCAGATATATTTTTTTACAACAGATTTGTCCTATTTTTTATTTTGTTACTGTTATTTTTGTCTCCATATTTGGTGTTTGTTGTCCCTTCTTTTATTGTGAGGGTTTATTACTAATTAAAATAATATATTATTTGATTTTATTTGGTTGTAGACTTTAGATTTTGATTTGTAAGTATGGATCCTCGATCGATTTCGATCGATGGAGCCTGATAGTGCAACTTGTTCCTTCATTGATGCTATTGAGGCACGTACACTCATATGTATTTGTCATATGTTGCAAATTATTGAAAAAACAATCCAGGTATAGAAGATCCAGAAAAATTATTATTTTGTCGCTTAAATCAATTAACAGACTATGTGCTGCTATGAAAATTTATATTTTTTGTAAATAACAAATTCAAGCGTAAAGATCGAACATTATATTTTTTAACTTTAGTTTTATTGTTCAAAAGAATATGAATTCTTTTGGTTTGTTAAAAGATCAACAAACTCTGTTAGCTACTACTAGTAGAGTTATATATCTGATCTATATGATTATTTGTAATTCTTAATATTTTATTAATGAATTATATTTTTTTAAAAAAAAAGTTTAAATCATTAATTTTAAACCTAATTTAAGTTATCTCATCAATTTAAAAATATTATTATATGTTAAGTATATTATAAGTAAAAAATTAATAAATATTATTATATGTTAAGTATATTATAAGTAAAAAATTAATAAAAAATAAATTACGAGTGGGATAAACGAGTACAAACAATGTGAACGCACATTCATAAAAATTCGTATGTATATATAAGGACTAGTACGTATATATATATAAATAAGGACTCATAGACACATTAATCTTATGAAATTAATTATCAATAAATATTTTAAAAAGTAATATCTTTATTTAGTGAATTTATTTATAATTATTACAAATAATAGAAAACTACTAAAAATTATCTTTTGCTTATATTACATGTTGAAATAAAAAATAAGTTAAATAGTAAAAAAAAATCATTAACGTTAAACTTTTATTAATTCTAACTAATTCTTTTAATTTTATCAATCAACACTCTCAACTTGATTTTTCATATCAAATTTAGCTTTTACCTGAGTGTGGCGGTCAAATATGATTTATGAAAAAGACTTGATGTATGAAGAAGGAAAATCCATCATGACAATAGGAAAAATAGAAATAGGAACGTATTGCAGTATCGGCAGAAGAAAAAGTTAATCTAGAAAGAGCATGAGTAACGCAATTGTCCTGCCTGCGAGGTGCGTGAGCATCTCCAGTTTCCAACTTGTTGCAGTAATGAAAATAGAGAAAAAAAGATAAGTCTCGTATTCAATATCAGCAAAGCAAGCATAAGATAGCTGCTGGACCTGTTGAAGAGCATCTGATTCCAAAGTGAAAGAGTGAAAGCCTAACTCTATGGCAATTTGAGAACCAAGCTTGCAGCCTCAATCTCTGCCTGTTCCGCAGCTAAAACTAAAGGAAGACGCTTTCAATATGCTGCCATCATCTGTCCCAAATGGTTTCATATACCCCATAGGCAGGGTGGCGTGGCACTCTAGGTGAATTTCACATCGAATAAGTACAAGGTATAAGTGAAACACATAAAAATGGTAAGTCTTAGACTAACAAGACGTCTTTGGGCAATTGAGTTTGTTCTAGCTAATAACATAGTCATGTGGCCCTGAGCGAGTTAGAATCAAAGTGGACAATATCTCGTTAAGCCTAGACTGTTATATTCCCGATGACTCAATCCAACCCACAACTTTAACGATCAAACACCTATGGATTAACATTCACCTTGAGGTCCATTTTATGAAAATAGCATCATTATTTGGACAACAAATCCTCTATGCGGAAAAATTTATAAATTTGGTATCTCAATTTTTGAAAAATTTATATTTTAATATCTCAACAGAAAACTTTTACAATCGAGTATCTGAACATTATATTTTTTCAATCAAATATTGTCTACTTATATGGCAGGCCGAAAATACAAATAGGATTATTATTTTTAATATATATATTATTATACTTAATATATAAGTACTTATATATATATATATATATAATATAAAATTTGAGCCTCGGTCCCTTATGCCCCTTCCATGTTCTACTAGTGATTTCACTGATCCCTCCAGTTTGGAGAGAAAATAATGGGAGAAAGAGGTGAAAAATTCACTTATTCTTGTTAAATTACTTAAATACTTTAAATTAATTAATAAACTTTAACTTTTTCTTAATTATTTAAGTGAAGATATATTTATCAATTTTAATGATAATATTTTTTTTCATCTAAAATTTTAGGATCCAAATAAAAAAAAATTGTTTCTTCCATTCATTATATACAAAATTGCAAACACAAGATAAAAAATAAATTATCGAAAAAAATTGACATTTATTCCAATATTTTGGTTCATTTCCTTCCCAAACGAAGCCTAAAAATCCGTCATCTTTTTCTCCAAAAAAGGCAAAATTAAAAACGAACAAAAACACAAACACGAAGCCACGAGCTGGACGGCTGGACCCATACCAAACAGCTCCGTCTTTAAAAACGCGAAGTTTCCACTTCATCCTTTACTCGAATGCTAACCGTTTCTAGAGTCCGATTGCTAGCCATGTCCGGCGCTACGATGCTCTCTCCTTCGAAATCCTCAGTTGTCCTAAAAAACCCTTCTTTGCATTTCTCTTCCAGTTCTAATCTCCTCGATGGAGGAAGAGGAGCTGTCAAGAGTCGTGTTGCTTTATCTTCTCAGTTTGCTCGCGCTATTTCGCTTCGATGCTTTGCTTCTTCCTCTTCAATTGGATTTGATCGAGTTAAAGTTCAAAATCCAATCGTTGAAATGGATGGTAAAACCTCCTAAAACCCTAGCTTCTGTTTTGAATTGTGGTTGAATGTGTTTTGTTGGACTTGACGTTGAAATGGAGGAAAATGTAAGGCCAAAAGATTTTTTTAAGTTGTTTATGTTCTCTCTTGGATTGCGTGAAAATTAATGAAAGGCTGGAAATTCTACAGTTGATTGTTTATCGGTCTTCTTCTTCTTATTTGTTAATTAGTTCATTTGATTTTGGTTTAGTTTTCCTGTTTCTTTCTTTTTTTTTTTTTTTTTTTTTTTTTTTTTTTTTTTGAATATGCGAAGTTCAATTTACTACTGTTATTCTGTCTGATGATTAGGCGATGAAATGACGAGGATCATTTGGAAAATGATAAAAGAAAAGGTAACCGTATTTGTCTTTCATAGTTCTCCAATTTCATAGGTACGGAGTAATTTTGTGAGCATATAAATTTCTAAAGAGCTTTGGTGATTGCAGCTTATATTTCCGTATCTGGATTTGGATATTAAGTATTATGATTTGGGGATCTTAAATCGTGATGCCACTGATGATAAGGTCACTGTAGAAAGTGCAGAGGCCACTCTTAAGTAAGTTGGCTACACCTGTACTTAGGTTATCACTCCTTGCTATGTAGTTTTCCCTTTTTATTTTTTTGGAAGTATCTTTTAGCGTAGAAGATAATGAACCTATGGGCTTATAGGATAAAATGATTACCGTTCAACAAGCCGCAGTTGAACTTATTTATAGTACATAGTTATTTTAAGTTTTCGTTTAATATGTTTATGTTTTCATCCTAATGTCTTATATGGTGCAGGTACAATGTTGCTGTAAAATGTGCTACAATCACACCTGGTAAGCTATTCTTGTTCTTCCCTCCCTTTTGGCATCTTTTGTGATCAGAACATATTGTCATTCTAGGTGCTAGTTTATGTAACCGTTGATGTAATCTTAATTCTATACGTGTAAATGGAGATTTTGGGGTGGAAACTGCTACTGATTTTGTTTTATGCCATTATCTGCAGATGAGACCAGAGTTAAAGAATTCAATCTGAAGTCTATGTGGAGGAGTCCAAATGGAACAATAAGAAACATCTTAAATGGTTGGTTATTGTTTTGTGTTAAAAAAAATAAAAAGTTTTTATTTTGGGTATGGGTGGATATGCATCAATATTTTAGCAAACATCCTACGCTGCTGGAAATTTCTATATTTTAAAGTTCTCATTTTATGAGCTACTGCTAACATTTAGAACTGCAAAACACCATTGCTTATATTTTTTACAACTGAAGTTCTTGCTTTATTATCTTGTGACACCTTTGACTGTATATCATCTCCTGTCTACAACAGGGTGTCTGAAAGTAGTGCAAGAAAGAATCTAGTAGGTGGTTGTTTTCTGTATTCTGGGCAGCTTGTTGCAGGTTTATTTAATTTCTTCTAGGGGTTATTACTAGACAACCATCTCTAAATTTCAAGATACAGTCTATCACAATGTTTTTCCTTCTTCTTCCATGTATTTAAACAGCACAAGGATTAGTGGGGTAGTATCTAAGGAACTTCTTGAAATGAATGTGAATATTTTTTTTCCTGTTTCTCACAACTTTACTATGCTTGTTAGTGGTGCAGTATGCATTTTTCTTTTTAATTTCAATCCCAGTATGGTAAATGATGATATATTGTGGTAGAGAGTACTGAAGTTGGATAAATTTTTGTCCGTCATCAATTGGGCATTTCATTCTACATGTGTATGGCTTGGATGCAGTATTTCTGGTTGGCATCTTGTTTACATTTTGTCCTTGTGAACCCTTCCTACAGATGTTGAATGCAAAAGTTTTACTGTTTAGTTGCTATTGTAACAGTTTATTTGGGATTTTTTTCTATTATTTTTAAATTATCATGTATTTTAGATTATTCTAACGGAAGGGTTTCTTACTTATCTAGGCACTGTTTTTCGTGAACCTATTCTCTGCCAGAACATTCCAAGAATTGTTCCTGGTAATGTTCAGTTCCTGCTGTACGCTTGAGAGCCTATTAAGTGTTTGGAAGCTGTATTAAGTACTTATAAACAGGTCTGCAGGTTGGAAGAAACCTATATGCATTGGTAGACATGCCTTTGGTGATCAATATCGTGCCACAGATACAATCATTAAGGGGCCAGGAAAACTTAAAATGGTTTTTGGTAAGCTTTCATATTTCTATATCTAAGCGACAAGGCTTCTTTCCTCCTAGTCCTTATTAGGTGTTATTAGTAGTTACAACTTTCTCTTCATATTATCCAGTGCCAGAGGATGGTGAAACCCCGATAGAGCTTGATGTTTATGATTTTAAGGGTCCTGGTGTAGCGCTCGCTATGTATAATGTTGACCAGGTTTGTTTGTTGCATGAATATTTCCTGGAGATCTGCATTGCAATATGTAAATACTTGCCTAACCTTTATGTAATTGAGCAGTCTATTCGAGCTTTTGCTGAGTCATCAATGTCATTGGCGTTTGCAAAGAAGTGGCCTCTTTACTTGAGCACTAAAAACACAATTTTGAAGAAATACGATGGCCGGTGATTGCTTCTTTCCTCCTTGCACCTCAACTACATACTTTAAACCTCTAATCGTTGTATCAGTTAAACCTCCAATTTTTAAATGAGAGAAGAAATGCACAATTATAATCACTTGTACATTTCACAGGTTTAAGGATATATTCCAACAGGTATATGAAGAGAAGTGGAAGCAAAAATTTGAAGAAAATTCAATATGGTATGCTTAAATATAGTTTGTATTCTGTTGTTCACTATGATAAAAAGAATTGATGGAATGCCTTCTGGTTCTCAGGTATGAGCATCGGCTAATTGATGACATGGTTGCTTATGCATTAAAAAGTGAAGGTGGTTATGTCTGGGCTTGTAAAAATTATGATGGAGATGTCCAGAGTGATTTACTAGCTCAAGGTGCTAAAATTTTTCACTCTGACTCTCCTTACTCATTTATATGTCTAGGTTTTAAATATTGTAAGATAATGGCATGTGTATCGCTGGACCTCTCAAGACAGAACTTATAATACTAGGATAAGTTCTAACTGACACTTGTCAGTTACTAGATGGCAGATTAAGGTTTGTATTTTCCACTAATTTTAGATCAAAGGATTCCTGCTCTGCACAGAAAATCTCATTCAGTTAAAGTAGTGAATTTTCTAGTTTTGCGAAAACTATGTAGGGAAACTAAGATTAATTGAAGCCAACACAGTTAATAGAAAATAATGGATTTAGTATGGACAATTTATTATTTAATAAAATATTAACACCTTTTTTCCTATTCAATTGAAGAGGCACGAGAATTACCAAATCGAACCGATAAATGATGGTTCTGTTTTTCATTATAATGACCTTAAGCACTTGCTTGCTGTGACTTAGCATCCCTTTCTAAATTTGGTTTGCTTTGTGCAGGGTTTGGTTCCTTGGGCCTTATGACTTCTGTGTTGGTTTGTATCAAGTTATTTTTCAAGACTAATGCTAGGTTCTTTATTTTGTTATGTGATAATTTGATGCTTTGGATACTGTAAAATATGCAGTTATCATCTGATGGAAAGACACTCGAAGCTGAAGCAGCTCATGGGACTGTAACTAGGCATTTTCGGTTACATCAGAAGGGACAGGAAACTAGCACGAATAGTATTGCTTCAATATTTGCATGGACACGAGGACTAGAACATAGGTATCTAATTGACATTATAAGATATCTTTAATTTTTTGGCGACTTATTTTGATATCATTGTTAGTACCAATATAATACATTCTATATAACAATTTGGGCTTTGTTTTGCCTCTTACGAAGTCCTAGGCTGGTCGATGTTCTTCATGCAATAAAGTTGAATCATGATCCTATGACATTTCAATTTGTTTTTCATTAATAAATGACCGCTATGGTTTCTTCCACCTAGGGCCAAACTGGATAAGAATGAAAGGTTACTTGATTTTGTGCACAAGTTGGAGGCTTCATGCATTGAGACAGTCGAAGGTGGAAAAATGACAAAGGATCTTGCGATCTTGATCCATGGCCCTAAGTAAGTGGTTTTGTGTTTTTACCCATTCTATCCTTGGTTCTTGATTTGAGTGCTTAACTGCTGATTTTGGGATTTTCTTTTCCTTCGGTGGATATTATCTTATTAAATGTCAATGAACTTAATGTTTGGATTAAAGAAAGCCTCATAGCGATTCATAGATCACCTAGCAAACGTTGGCAATAACTGATAAGGAAATGAAAGTAAAGATTATAGGAGGTTGAATCTTTTTGATGTTGCATAAAGTTAGGACTTGGCCTTGCGTTCTTTTTTGATATTCAAAAATAGTAATGTAAAAGTTGGGAGCATATATTTCTCTTTCTTGCCTGGTGGAGCATGAAAGTTTTATGGAGCTGTTTTGAGCCGACCCTAGAGATAAAATTTTTTTAATGCTATAGGTAATTAGGAGGACAAAGGAAGTAAAAATCCAATACATTCAAAAATAATATTAGGTGAGTTTGTAGCATTAAAAAGTGAATTGCTTTTGTCAGCTTGGAACTGATCATCCATTTCTGACTGAATTAAAGATTTGTAAGTGGAAGGGCTCTGATTGCTGGACAATACTTAGAAGAAAAGAAAAAAAAAGGAAAAAAAAAAAAGAGAATGAGAAACTTATCATCTAACAGAAAGAAAAGTAGCTGTGTCCTGCGTTATCCGAGAGACAGTGTTGGAGTGGGAATTTCCCTTGACTTGCTTTTATGCTGCATTATCCGAGATATGGTAGTTTATTAATCATGTAGAAGGTGTCGTCAGTTATGCAAACCTTTCTGTTTTTATCGGGAGCTTTATTATGCTGAAATTGTCAGTAACTTCGGCAAATGTTGGTAAGGGATAATATTTATAAGACGATGCTGATGCTGATGCTTGCAGGGTGTCGAGGGAGTTTTACTTGAACACGGAGGATTTCATCGATGCTGTTGAACAAAATCTGGATGCAAAGCTTAAGGAACCTGCAGTGGTATAAACACGTCTGATTAGGAAATTCACATGGATGGGATAATTTTTTGCAGTAAAATAAATATTTTTTAAAACCTAATTTATCATTTTTTTATCACACAGTTTCTTTGTCAAAAGGATGGAGCCTTTCAGGTTTCATGAGTACGTTTCTTTTTATTGACCAAGTGATAATATACTGAGATATCATTGTTTTCTTTCTTCCTTCAAAATTTAAAAAAAAAATTTTTCCCTTGTGGCCTGTATGTGTAAAACGAATCTCCAATCTGAAATTTCAAATGCAAATTCTTATCTTCTGCTGAGCTCTAGTTATGCAATCAAATGTATTGAAAACAAAGAGAACTTAAAAGACTAGCTGGAGTGCCAATAATGTCAATGGTTCGTTTGTAGATTTATTATTATTATTATTATTATTATTATTATTATTATTATTATTATACTTCAATTTGTAGGTTTGAGATTAATTGTATGGTTAATAGGTTTTGAGAAATTTTCATTTCAAATTAGTTCCAAATTATTTCAATTTTATTCAATTACGTTTAATTTTATATTTAGGCTAAATTAATATAATTCTTTTATGTTTAGTTAATTGATTTTAATTTTCTCAAATAAAATAAAAATTATTATACAAATGAATTTTTTAAAAAATTAAAGATACAAAAAAAAAAGGCACTAAAAATTGAAGCAACCAAAAAGAAGAAATTGAATAGATATGAGGTTCTTTTTTTCTTCAAGCGTGGGAACTCTTCGATTAGAATCAGTAGGATTGATTTTCATAATAATAACAATAAAAAAATGTCGAAATTTTAAGATAAAAAATTATAAAAGTTGGTTTTATTATATTTTAATATTTTGGGTAAATTAAAATCATTTTTTATTGAACAAAAATAGGAAAATATTTTTATTTTGGTAAAAAATGAAAATTAAAACAAAATCCGAAAGGAAAAAAAACTGATATTTAAAAATAGAATTGTTAAAGTTGATTCATCGTTATTTTCCAATTTGGTACTTTCTTATTTCTACATTTTTTATTTTTTAATTGGATATAATTAACTATAAGCAATAAATATATATATGTAAAGCTATGATTACAGTTAGTTTCATTGATAGTTAAATCTTATGTTCCGTTTCTTTTTGTAAAATAACTTGCAAAAAAATAATTTGCTTATAATATTGTCTTTGAAAAATATTTTCAAATGACTTATTTTCAGTTGTTTAGTTGTAATATTAAAAATTAGTTAAAAATTAAAGTTTTTATCTCTTATGACCATAAAAAATATTATTAATAATATAAATTTTATAATTTTTAGTTGTAATATTAAAATTAGTTTAAAAATTTAAAAGTTTTTATCTCTTTATGACCATAAAAAATATTATTAATAATATAAAATTTTAATAATTTAATAAAATTTTATTGTTAAATATAAGAAAAATGTAAAAAAAATATATAATTATGAAAGCTGCTGGGTGGCTGATTGGTAATAGCCCCGAATTTTTTTATTTCAAAACCTTTCGAATTTTTTTTTTAAATCAAAAATCGCAAATTTTTGGCCGTGTGGCTGTAAATGTAACAACAGGCTCAATTCGAGCTCAAATTTTCAATTGGGCCCAAGCCCAAAAAATCGAAAACCCACAAAGACCCGGCTTCAGCGACATCAACTCCCCCTCTCTACCTGTCGATTTCTAGTCGCCTGAGCTCAAAATCCAACCAGTCAAACCTCCTTCTCGCCACCGGTATTAATCTGCCGCTCTCTCCTCTCCACTTCTGGTCTATATAGCACAACAACGAGGGAGATATTGAGCTGCAATTTTTGATTGAGACAGCTACCTCCCTCCCATTCTCCTGGTTTTTCCGGTGAATCCAGTCAAGAGCCGGCCGAACCACCTCTCATGCCGTCGCCAAAACCTCACCCTCCACTGTTCCTCTCTTTTCCGACCAAGCCAGCAACGACAGAAACAGGTTTTGGACAAAGAAGTCGCTGCTGATCTATCCACCCGAAAATTTATGATTCCTGGTGTGTATTTGCAACAAGAACCAGCGCCACCTCACCGTCGCGTCACCGCCGCACATGCTCAAGCCTCCTTCTCCTCCTCTCTGGCGAGCGCAACGATGGCAGAAGTCGCAGTTCTGCTCCATCGCCAGATCGCATCTCCTGCTCGATTTCCGGCAACCTCATCGTTTTTCGACGATCCGCGTTAGCAAGGTGAGTCCCAAAATGCCTTCTTGTTATCTTTAGATAAATAATTAATGGACAAACTGAATTTGAATGAGCCACTTGAGATGGTTAAAGATTTAGGTTTTGTCAATTGATAAAATTTGGGGTTTTAGTAATTAATTGCCATATTTTGTAGACCATATTTTGTAGATATTGATCTCAAAATCGAACTTACAGGAAGCATTCTTTTATTTTCAGTATAGCTGTTATTTGATCTCAGGCCTGCTGGCCGTCGGGCGCACCGTGGCTTTGTGGCGACGGGTTGAATGTTTCCGGTATACCGGAAAAGTTGCTAAATTAGGCAGAATTTTGCACTCAACGCAGTAGAAGTATGAACTATAATGTTTAGATTTTGTAATCTGAACATTGATTGGATATTCAAACTATTGTTTGACTTGAATTTATAATTAAGGCTTAGAAAAGTATAAGACTTGCAAGAAAATTTTGTTTAATTAAGGATATTAGCTAACATTAATTACATGAAATAAATACTAAGAAATGAATTAGTTATACAAAAAGTAATGTTAAGAATAGGAATCTATCTCCTTGTGGATCTGTTTAGTTATTAAGCTTCAATATATTAGTTAAATAGTAATCTTTAGTAATCAAAGCTGAAGTAAAGCTTAATTCCTAATTAGAAAAATGGCTTAAGTCAATTTATCTGGGTCTGAATTTATTTGTGATTATTTCTTGTTTGAATTTATAGCTTATAATGGAATTTTTAATGTTTTCTAAGCATGAAATTGACATGATTCGGGATAAGAGGGTTTTTAATTTTAAATGTTTGAAAATAGGATGATCGAATAGGCACCTAGTTTAAAATTATTATGATTCTTAGTTAAGAGAACCTTGATAGGTAAATTACATTTAATTCCTGAACTCCATGAATGGAAACATTCAGAAATGATATTTAATGAATTCCAAACGCGAAAAGATAAACTGAAACATTTGAAATAAGTAGGTTTAATTCTCGCTAAGGAATAGTAATTCGATATATTTTTAAGCTGTAAGTTAAATTTCTCTTTAGTATATGTATTCTTTAAGATTTTTAATTTAATAAAAGCATTTTTGTTCGTATTGGCTAATAATAAAATTAAAACAAAGGTATAAAATAATGTGCTATTATCTTTAAGCAAGAAATGAAAGAAATGAAAGATTGATAAAGAGTACATAATAGTTTAGACACTACGAAAACTAATCAAAAGTGAAAGTAAATTGAAATTAACTTTAATGATATGTTGTTATGGAAGGAGGATGGGATTTTAAATTGATTGATTTGCCCGACGGATGGGCTGTGTGCATTGATTGATAAAGAATAATGATATTGTGATATGTGAGCAGGGTAAGATTAGTTCAAATTTTTTAGGGAGGTTGCTGCTCGAAATTTTTGATAAAAAATTAGACCTAAAATTTTTATTTTAACAACATAATTAATAAGTTTAATTTAGATGTAGGTTCTATAATATTTGGTAATACATAAATATAGTGCTCTGATTATTTACTTATCTTTATTATTCATTAATTATTTACATTAATTTTTTATTTATTTTCAATTTTATTGTTAATATTGTTATTTATTTTTATTATTGTTTGATTATTGTTAATGACATTGATATTTTAATTTATTTGCATTGATTTTGGATGTTTAATTTGTGCCATTTGCATTAATATGTTTTAATTGAATTAATATGGTCTTGCATTGGATTGCAATGTTGATTAATTTGTGTTGTGATAATGCTATGCTTTGTTTGTGTGGAATTGGATGAGTGGACCACCGTGGGTTTGTGAGGACGGTCCTGTGATATGGATCCGAATAATTATATGATATTTGACCGTACGGCCGGGAAAATGGGAGATCGGCGCCCCTTGTGCACCTGATGATATAGAATTAACATGGGAATATCACAGGATGGCTTCTTGTTGTTGCCGCACCTGATAATCTACGATTTTGATTGCTAGCCGCGGGTGGCCATCCTGTTGGTGAGCCACTTGATGATCTAGATTGGATGGAGACCAACCGGGTTTGCCTCCTGTGGTATGGGAAAAGAAAAGAGAGAAATGGGAAAAACAATGAGAGGACTGGTCAGTGAGGTATTAGACCAGTTGGCCTGGTAATGGGGGATCCCGGCTCGCCTGGTGTCACATTTTATGAGAGGGCGAGCCATGTGTGAGGACGGCTCGTTGGGGTTATCATTTTGTGGTGGCCACCTGACGTAATTTCCACAGTGATATGATTAATATGAAGATGTTTATGATTGTGAAGTTGCTTGGTGGATATGCCATTTGTGTGGAGTGGCCTGCGTGAGCATAATAACTAGGTCGGATGACTAGATTAATATGTGTACACATTTGTAAATGACACTGCGTTGTGTTTGTGGCAATTAATTATTACTCCTTAAAAACTACATGTCTTGGTTTGATTTTTTTTTCAGGAAGTAGGTTTTTCCTTTAATCCGATTTAGGCTATGTTTTCTTCGGCCGCAGGGAATAAGGAATTTTTTCCTAAGTTCCATAATTATTTTGCTATGTATACTAACAATTAGTGACTCCGCAGTTGTAGGATGTAATACTTTTAATCAATTTATTATTATTAGACGAGATAATTATTGTGAACCCCATTTTAAATAAATGTGATGCCATTTGTTAATTAGGCCCAGAAACTGTGGAATGTTGTAAAGCCGATAAAATTTGGCCGAGATTTAATAAATATCTTGAGGTTTTTATTTTTTCATAATCATATGACTAATGTTGAAATTTATACCGAGATATTTGGATTCTAGTGTTCCAGGCTTAAACTAACGGGTCTCGGGAGCCTTAAGCCTACCTGGGCCCTAGTGCCGGTCGGCCCCCCCCATAAAATGGAATTGGGTCGTGACACTGATAGTGATTTGTGTTGTT